TGGTTTGCTTTCATGGTTCTGCTATCTTTCCAGTTGTTGCTTCAGAGTATAATGTCGACACTTACTGCACCATTTTCATAGTCAATTAAGTACCCTTCTCGGCAATCATTATCAAAGCTATGCCTCAAGTCATCATATACTTTGAGTTGATTTGGCCGGTAATATAATTTGAACCAGCAACCTCGCGAGTTAATGAATACAATTGATCAGGTTGGAAGCGCATTAACTTCACGGAAGCGGTTTTGAGCTGTCCTTCCCACTTAACGATGTTCTGTTAAGTGGAGGATACCTGTTTCACACACCAAATAGGATAATTTACATTTATTCATCACTGATATTGTTCACATATTTATACATCAATATCAGTTTTATACTTCAAAAAAGTAATTTTCACCAGTTATACATAATATTTCTTTAGCATTGCTGCATTCCAAACATTCTTCAACGGTTTCCCAACCATTGCTTCCAATTAAAACGAGCCCTGCATCACCATATCCTTAATTCGATATGGTCCTTCCCAGTTTGCTGTTAACTTTCCATCTTCATTTCCATTTCTGTTGCAGCTGCCATACGCAACACCAAATCTCCTATATTCAGACGCCGATAGCTGACCGCTGCCTGACCCGTTTGTTATATGCCCTTGACATTCTGTCTTTGTAGGCGGCTGATTTAACAACTGCTTTTTCCTGTACTTCCGGTAGGAAATCTAGTTGTTGTCGTAATAACAAGTCATTCTATTCTTCACAGTAATGCTGAATTCTAAATGTCGACAATCCTACCTCTGCAGGTACCACTGCCTCTGTCCCAAAGACTAAGGTAAAGGGTGATTTACCTGTGTCTTCTCTGATTGTCGTTTTGTTTGCCCACAGTATTTCAGGTATAAGATCAGCCCATAACTCCTTTGCATCCTCAATTTTCTTTTATATTGCCATTATGATTTGTTTATTTGATGCCTCCGCTTGGCCATTTGACTGTGGATGACATACTACAACATATGCAAATTTGACCTTGTACATTGCGAAAAGATCCTTTACCAGTTTACAGTCAAACTGAGATCCGTGATAAAAAAAACCATCGCCATCGGCAACCCAAACCTTGTGAAAATATTCTTCCAGATGAACTTCTTCACCTCAGATGCTAATATCTTCGTTCTTAGCTCAACTTCTATCCATTTTGTGAAATAATCTATGCCAACTAGGAGAAACTTTCTTCCACCCGTTGCTGATGGAAACGACCCTACTATATCCATTACCCATTGTGCAAAAGGAACTGGATTAAGTATTGGCATCAAATCATTTGGTGGCAGGTTGATAGCTGGAGCAAACTTCTGACATTAATCACACTTTTTCATATATCGAGAGGCATCCTCATGTATTTCCTCAATGAGCTTCATAGATTCAAAATATGTTATGCATCACTGTAATGGCAACGAGATCCCTCTTTTATACAACTGCCCCTGATGCATATTGATCATCTTATTGCGCTATTAGATTTTTTTTTTTTGCCTGATGCTTTTTGCAGCCTAGCTCTAAAGTCCATGTACATTTGAAGGGAGCCATCGATGACTCGATGAACATAAGGTGAAGGGGCTGCTAAAATTGGAAGGGGGTTGCTGGTGAGCACAAGGTGAAAGGGGCTGTTGAAATGGGAAAGGGGAAGGGTTTGGAGGAGATGAATTTTAGAAGTATAAATATATGTAATCTAAATATTACAAATTCGATATTACATGTATAAATGTTAATTAAATTACAAGGATGAATTGTGTTTTTGTTTAGATTAAATAATTTAATTTTGTACAAAACTTAGATTAAATTAGCTAAGTTGAGACGCTTCATTGTTCCATTAGAACCCTACATTATTTTAGTAGTAGAACCCTTCATTGTACAAGTATAACCCTGCAAAAATAATCAAAGAGTTCTACCCTTCATTACAGTATAACCCTACATTATTTTAGTGGAACCATGGAACCCTACAATGTTTTAGTGGATCCCTTCATTGTGTGAGTGTTAACTTGCAATTCACCCTATATAGTCATACCCAAATTTGTTTCAATGGGACCCTACAATGTTTAAGTGGAACGTTATTCTTGTACACCATGTCAATGCAAAACTTTGACTGAGAATATCTTTAATTATCAATAAGTAAAAATTATAACAATTGAATATTAATAAATTATTCATTTAGACGATTCCATCAAGTACCCACATGACTATATATATTTTTATGTATAATCACACAAATTAATCATAGTGAATTGGATTAATAATGCAAAACGTCAAAACATTTCATTTATGTAAACACAGAGGAAGTAAAAAAATATCATGATCGCTTCATGGAAAAGTCGCTTTGACTAATTATGCACTATTCAATCACTATTTTTGAGTTACTTTTTTTTTTTACCTAGAACAAAATGAATAAATGTCATTTGATTGCTCATAAATGTAATTATTTATTTATGTAATATATCATTTGATTACTCATATAGCTTTTTCCATACATAAGGGTACCAAATCATAGAAGGGTACGACTAACTTACAGAAGGGTACTACTGATATTATATTTGATTCAACTATTATTCAAAATATAAGATCAAATGGTAGATAAGAACAAAGTACCCTTTATTGTCACATTAGTACCACTGCATATTAAAAGGATTCCATTAGAATATTGTAGGGTACAACTGAAATACATACATCATTGAGTAAAATGAAAGTACACTTGTCATCTACGATGGTACAATTGGTACATACTAGGGTACCATAAATTATATAAAAATCATCTACAATCTACAATAAGAAACTTTTTGCAACATTCTAGCCTAATCAAAAGCTAAAGGAGTTGAAAAGAAAAACTCAGCACTGGAACAATATAGGGTACCATTGGAAAGCAAGCATCTTATCATTGGATACATATGAAACCCTAAGATTAACATTTACAATTATTTACCAATATAAAGTTAGCAAAGGAAGGAAACCACCCTTTAATAAAATTAAGGAACCATTTCATCACTCCAAGTAAACGTGAATAGAGTGTGTCCTCTAATAAAAGAGTGCAAAGAGTTTTAATAAATCAAAATTAAGGGAACCATTTAATCAAATAAAACATGTAACGACCATCTTTTGATATTACATATAAGCCATACATTTTCCACTATTTACCTTATTTACCAATTTAATTTAAGCACGGGGGACTATTTAATCAAATTTAAGGGAACCATTTTGATGAGTGACATTTATGGCACTCATTTGATTTCTTTTAGGATGATTTTCATTTCATTTTTTAGCTCTTTTCCTTAGTTTTTCTTAGTTTTGCTCTTTATTTTGTTAGTTTGTGCTTTTCGTTGTTAGTTTCTTTATTTTGTGCATTTCTTTGTTTATTTGTTGTTTTTCTCTATTATTTGTTTGTTTTCATTTGTTTTTAGGTTGTGATCGAGTTTCCAAAGATTTCTGAGCTTCCCTCCTACATTTCTCATCATATTGGATGCCTTGTGTTAGCATTTGGAACTCCAAGTTTGGAGGAACTCAAGGGGCAAGTCTAGAGACCGGTGCACGTATGCGGTGGGGGCATCATCTTTGCCACAAACCCACCAAGATACTCATTTCAAGACTGCATACTTTGATGTTCATCACCATCACCAAGCCATGCGCACAAGGTTGATCAAGGTCGAAGAAGGGGAGTAGGAACACCTAGATTGGTGCGGGCACACCCAGGGAAGGTGCGGGCGCACCCACCTGGGTCTTTGCCCGTACCCTGCTCTGTGCGACCTCCTTTCTCCCTTGTGTGGCCGCATCTCCGTGGGTCTATTTTTGGACGATCTAACCGACTTTTCCTTGTATATATAGTATTTTCCTTCTATTTTAGAGAGAGAATCATTAGAGAAGAATTAAAATAGAATTAGAATTAGTTTTTGATCAAATTAGAGAGGTTTTTAGAGAAAGAAACTCTAGGTTTTAGTGAGAGAAATTCATGGTGGATTGTTGATGATTGAAGCTTTCTTTAATTCCTTTGATCTTTGATCAATATTGTAAGATTTCCTTTTCTTTAATTCAATCTTTAGTTTAATCTTTAGTTTGATTTCAATTGTTTTGTTGAATGTTCAAGTTTGATTGAAGTTTGATTGATTTCTGATTTGATTATAGTTTGTTCAATTTGATCATGATGAATTTGTTGTTTAGCTTTGTTTTGATCTTGATTTCTATGGATTATGAGCAGTTAGATTGCTAGGGTAATGGTGAAGCATGTATGAGTAATGTATTGATGCTAACTAGGGAAAATTGATGGAATTGATGATGTGATTAAATTTGGTTGATGATCATGTGCATGTGTGTGATTAATTAAAGTGTAGCTAACTTTGATTGTTGCACTAGATTGCATTGTAATTTCACATTGATACGGACCATTGTTTTGTGGCTTGCATTTACACGATTGAAGTGTCTTATGATGTTTCCTAACTAGAGTTTATCGTAGTTGACGCTAGTTAGACATCTAGGAGAATAGCTTGATATGCTCTATTAGTTGCATGATTGATCTTCCCTCACATTGCTTGACTTAGCCAATTTAACTTCCCAATTAGTTGATTCCAATATGACTACATGTGGATCCTAGCCCTAGTGCTTATTACATTTGATTTCTTCTCGTTTATTTGCCGTGTTTGTCTTAGTATAGATTTCACACCCTATCTCTAGACTTCGAGATAGCTTGACTATAGACAATAGACAATAGCCCACCATTCCTTTGGGTTCGACCCTTGACTTACCGTTATACCTATATAGGGGTGTGTTGAGTGCTTATGAATATTGTTTGACCTTGGGTAGGGGTTATCCCCAACGACCTAGCTTCGACCCTCGTCAAAATGGCGCCGTTGCCGGGGAATGGTGTCGTGATTGTATATTGTTGTTGAGTTTATTCCACTTAATTCAAAATCACAAAAAGATTTTCCTTTAGGCTACACTTGTAGTCGTGCTACTAATAATTTCGTTTGAGATTGTGTGCAAGTGAACATGGGAGAAGCTCATAGAGTGATGTTGAAGGAGTTGGTCACGCCGGGCGCTTACAAGTATGAGAGCGAGATTGCTCCATTATTGATCCCGGATGGTGATTTTGAAATCAAACCGGCTATGATCACCTTGATTGAGAGGAAACAATATGGTGGCACAAAAAGTGAAAATCCTCTCAACCATCTCAAGGATTTTGAAAAGTATTGTAATACAATTATGGTAGCCGGAGTTGCTCAAGAATATATAAGGCTCAAGTTGTTTCCGTTCTCTCTCATTGGAAGAGCTTTAGAGTGGTTGGACAAGGAGGTAAAGCCGAGGTCCCTTAGGACGTGGGATGAAGTCACAAAATCTTTCTTGTCTCGCTTTTACCCACAAAAGAAGACGGCGGAGGCTAGAGCCTTAATCCAAAGTTTCAAGCAATTGCCTAGAGAGAATCTCTATGAAGCATGGGAGAGGTACAAGGATTACCAAAGGGAATGCCCTCACCACGGAATTCCAACCTATCAAGTCATACAAAATTTCTATGGTGGTTTGAGCTCTCAAGGTAGATCGAGCCTTGATGCCGGAGCCGGAGGGCCGATTATGAACAAAACGGAAGAAGAGGTTGTGGATGTAATAGATGATGTGGTAAGGAACTACATGGATTGGCATGATGTAGAGAGGGAATCGACAAGCACAAGTGGCTCAATCGATCAATCTAATGTCGTCAACAATTTGTCCACATTGGTCTCGGAGTTAGGAAATGAGGTGATTTCTCTCAAGACCAAGCTCGAGAGTCCTTCACAAGCTTCTAGTCTTCCCTCCCAATTTAAGGGGATAGGTACATCTTCCTACTCTAACCCTCTTTTTGCTTCTTGTTGCATGATAAGAGATTGCTTGATTTGTGATTTATGTGGAAAGAATGATCATAATGCTTCTAATTGCCCCAATGTTCCTTGTGATATATATGATGGATATGAGAATGTGCATGTGAATTGTGTTGATAATAATGATTTTGGACCTAGATTTAATGCTAAAAAGAATGTTGGGAATAGGAATTATCACAATGATGGGAGCTATAATAATTATAACCAAAAGAGTGGTAACCATAATAACTTTTGTTGTAATGATCAAAGCCATAGCCAAGAATATGAGGATCATAACCAAGGTTATGGTAGCCATAATCAAAATTCCGGCCAAAATCATGGTAGGAGTAATTAGAGTAATCAAAGTACAAGAGAATTTCATAATGATGTTCAAAGAGATACCCCACCCCAAATTACTCCAAAGACTCAAAGCCAAGGTGATGATTTCTATGATCAACAATCCCAATTGAATAGGCTAGAGAATTTCATGATGGCTCAATCCGAGATGTTGAATGAATTCACATTGTCTTGTAACAAAATGTTTGAGGTCTTATTTACTCATGGAAAGATGCTTGAGAACCAAATCAATGAACTAGCCATCCCTTTGAGTCATTGTGCTAGTCCTCTTTCTTTACCCTCACAAGAAGTTGACTCTAGGGAACCGATGTGTGCTATGACCACTAGGAGTGGTAAAGTCCTTAAGGAGAGTGTTCCTAGAAAGAGTAAGGAGAGTGAAAAGGAGAGTGATTCGAGTGAAGGGAATAAGCATGAAGAGCCTAGCAAGATGAGTGAGGATTCTAATTATAAGCCTAAGGAGAAAGAGAGGAAGCAAGATGAGGTTTACAAACCTAGACTCCCTTACCCCCAAAAGAACAATAGGCATAAATTGGATGAGCAATTTGGGAAATTCATCGAGATGCTTAAGCAACTTCATCTTACTCTTCCTTTCACCGATGTTGTAGAACAAATGCCAAACTATGCTAAGTTTCTTAAGGAAATTTTGAGCGGTAAGAGAGATTGCAATATGGTGGAACCGGTGAATTTGGGGGAGTGTTTTAGTGCCTTTATTCATAATGACTTACCCCAAAAGTTGAAATATCCCGGAAATTTCTCCGTACTTTGCAAAATCAAAGGAAAATTGTTCCACAATGCTCTTTGTGATCTTGCTGCTAGTGTTAGCATCATGCCTTATTCCGTTTTTAAGAAACTTAAGCTAGGTGAGCTCCTTCTATCCAACATGACCCTTTAATTGGACGATCGGTCTATTAAATTTCCAAAGAGGAGAGTTGAGGATGTTCCTCTCAAGATAGGAGAGTTCACCATTCCCGTTGATTTCATTATGCTTGAGATTGCGGAAGATGACCATATCCCTATCATCTTAGGAAGACCTTTCTTATCCACCTCGGGAGCCTTGATAGATGTTAAGGGAGGTCGTATTACCTTGAGAGTTAGTAAGAATGAGGAAAGTTTTGATTTGAAACCAATGCATGAGTCTTTGTCTCTTGTGAAAGGAATTATATGTGTTAATTCCCTTTGCTCCATTGATAATGTATGCATGATTGATTCTTCAACTAACTATTTTCTTGAGAATTATGATGATGTGCTTTTGAGTTGTGATTGCAAGAAGGTTAGTGAAGATAGAATGATGATTCCCAAGCTTATGGACGAGGAGGAAGTTGACATTCCTCATTGGTTTGAACTTTATCCTCAAGATGAAGGTGATGTCTCCATGAGTTTAGATGGTGAGGAGCCATCTATAAAGAACAACAATGCAAAGAAAAAAGCTCGAGATTCTAAGAAGAAGAGAAAGAGAAAGAAGTTGTGGAAAGAAAAGCTTGCATTTGAAAAGTCTTTGTATGAAATCTCGTCAAGCGACAACGAGAAGTTGCTAGAAGTTAAGGATGAATTTTCTCTTTCCGCCACTTTGAGGAAGGTGGTGTTCTTTGACCCTCCATGATTTGGAGGAAGGGTCGAGCTTAGGACCATAAGCAAGCGCTTCCCGGGAGGCAACCCGGAGATCTCTAATTTTTCTTTTTGATTTTGAATTTTCTTATTTTCCCTTCTTTTAGTTTCTTTTCTTTCACTTTTCTACTTTTTTGGATTTGTAGGTTGGATTCTTAGGATTGGATTTCATCAAGGGAGCATGAGGAATGAGAAAGTGTTTTGCGGTTTTTGATGTGTTTATACTCGATATCATCGAAATTTGAGGTAAAAGGGGAAGAATTTTAGTGAGGTAAGATAGGGAATTTTGTGCTTTAAAAGTTGAAGGAAGTTTGTTTTTGGTGGGTTCATGTGGTGCTACCATTATTTTGGGATTTTGAACCCACTAAAATGGGGTTTTGCTACTGCCTATGTTGGTGTTTATCATCATTATTGTTTGTGTACCCACCAATTACCGCGCCCACTGCCATGCCCCTTATCTTCCCCTTCCTTCTTTCTTCTTTCATTTCTACTTATTTCCTCCTTCTACCTTCGACCCCCATCACCCTCATACCCTCAAAACCGCACCAACCTTCTTCCATAACTCATCAAATTTCATTTATCCAAAACCTTTGGATTCAAGTCCCTTTGAATCCAAATTTTGTAGTCTAGTGTCTTTTAATTAGCTATTAGTTTAGTTGGTTACTTAGTGTTACTTTGTATCTTCCTTTTCTTCTCTTTTTGGTTTTGAAGTTACTAACCATTTTCTTAGTTCATAGTTTCTTTTGCTCTTCTTGTTCTCACATGGCTCTATGATGATGCTTACGATCTTGGAACGCAACAAAGGTGGTTCAATCTATCGCCTTTATTTATTATGCTAAGCATGGATAGCTCAGTGAGACCTTTCTAATTTTTTCTCTTTATTTTATTTGGATGTATAGATTAGGATTAGTTTAGGGGAAGTTGAATGGTTCGAGGATGAATGCTTGTTAACACGTAATGTGTTTGGGATCGATGACAATGTTGTCATTCGATCACTTGTTTGTCGATTGGGATATATGTGTTTAACTTGCTTTCTATTTCTCTTCTCCATTTCTCCTATTCTTCCTTTATCTATGACTTTCCTTTTTCTTTTATTTTCTTTTCTTTTCCTTTATTTTTGCTTTGTTCTTGTTTTGGTTTGTGGTTTGATTTTGAGGCTTATTTTTCACCATTTTTATTTTCCTTATGAGTTGGACTTTGTACATTGGACTTTGTCTTTTGCATGAATTTCTTCCTAGGTAGTAAAGGTATGCACGGTTTGAGACTATGTTCGGTAGACTCTAGGATAGGTGTATGCTAGGGTAGTTGGTTTGAACTAGGAGGATCATGAAGTCGGATTCTACTTGTTTGTGGCATGCTTGGTAGTTGCTCCCTATAGTCGATTTGACACCACTAGTGAGTTTTTGCTACATCCATGTGAGGTTCATCGTTTTTCAAGCCTTCAACCTATTTTATATGAGCGACGTGGATCCTTGACTTTGAAAACCTAATCTATAAAGCTTGATGTATGATTCTTAAACCCGAGACCGAGCTATCTGGGGAGGACAAAGGCACCTTTTTCGGGGTGGTATTTTTCATTTTTAGGATAGTTTGTTTCATCTTTATTTTTGGGTTTACATTTGTATTCTTGCAACCATTTGAGCCTATTCCCTTCTTTTCAAGCCACATCTTTAGATCTTTCGCCTTTTGTTTCATTTTCTTCCTCTTCTTGTTTTTGTGAAGCAATTGATCATTCTTGATGGAGTTTGTGGTGATATGGTTGGGATATGTGGTTCCATTGATGCAAGATTGTGATTATATCTTCTTTGTGAATAATGGCAAATGCTTATGAGTAAAAGTCGTCCTACTTCATAAAAGGCATGGACAAATAAATTGCATTATTGAAAAAGCCGTCCGAATTTAGTAAGAGGCAAGGACAAAGCATATCGAAAAAAAAAACAAAAAAAAAATTGAAAAGTGAAAAATTCAAAAATATTTTGATGTATTCTTTTCTCCTTCTAAGCATTGAGGACAATGTTCATTTAAGCTTGGGGGAGAAGCGTTTACGCTTTTTGTATATATTTCTTGTGAGTATAGCTTCAAATAAGCTTGGGGGTGTACGTATTTTTGTTTGGATTGGTGATTACTTGATTGTGATTCTAAGAAAGGGCCCGTTCTTAGCTTCACTATTAGGAAACCCATCAAATTTCAAATTTTAGCCTACCTTCACCCTTTATGCCTTACGTTACAACCTTGGGGAAAGACCTTTTGACCTAGAAAGTTGAGTCACTATTCGGGGGAGGGAATCATGGGTCATTTCCCAAGGAAAGGGGATGCATAGTCAAGATTGTCGAGTAGCCTAAATAAATCTCTTTTTCTGGTTCCTTCGAGGAATCATTGGGATGCTCACTAAGGGGAGATTTGAGACTAGTGGGGAGAACCCGGTAAGATCGTTTGGGATGAACGTGGATTGTGATGTATAGTTCCTACGCCTAGCATATCCTATGTTTCAGTCAACCTTAGATATCTTGAAAAGTGCATACCTTGACTACTTGAGAAAGATTTTCATTCATTTACATTGTAGTCTCTTTGTAAGTCCATTTCGCAAAGGTTTTGTTTTCCTTTTTCCTTTTCTTTTCTTTTTATGGTTTTGCCTCTTTGATGTTGGTGGAGAGTTGTGGGTAAACTCTTAGGATACCCTTACGAGACCTCACTCGTCCTCATAGGCGACTTTGGGGTTTAAAGGGCTTGTAGTAGCTAAAAACAACCGTGATTCCTACGACAGTGAGTAGTAGTGTATATTCTCGTTTTGAGTTTTTCTTTTTCTTTTTGAATAAGTTTTTCATCCTTACTCTTTCTTGCTTTGTTTTGCTCGAGGACGAGCAAAAGTTTAGCTTGGGGGAATTTGATGAGTGACATTTATGGCACTCATTTGATCTCTTTTAGGATGATTTTCATTTCATTTTGTAGCTCTTTTACTTAGATTTTCTTAGTTTTTCTCTTTATTTCGTTAGTTTGTGCTTTTCGTTGTTAGTTTCTTTATTTTGTGCATTTCTTTGTCTATTCGTTGTTTTTCTCTATTATTTGTTTGTTTTTAGGTTGTGATCGAGTTTCCAAAGATTTCCGAGCTTCCCTCCTACATTTCTCATCATGTTGGATGCCTTATGTTAGCATTTGGAGCTTCAAGTTTGGAGGAACTCAAGGGGCAAGTCTAGAGACCGGTGCACGTATGCAGTGGGGGCATCATCTTTGCCACAAACCCACCAAAATACTCATTTCAAGACTGCATACTTTGATGTTCATCACCATCACCAAGCCATGCGCACAAGGTTGATCAAGGTCGAAGAAGGGGAGAAGGAACACCCAGATTAGTGCGGGTGCGCCCAGGGCAGGGGCGGCCGCGCACCAAGGTGGTGCGGGCGCGCACCAAGGTGGTGCGGGCGCACCCACCTGGGTCTTTGCCCGTACCCTGCTCCGTGCGCAGTCTTTTTTCTCTTGTGCTGCCGCATCTCCGTGGGTCTATTTTTGGACGATCTAACCGACTTTTCCTTGTATATATAGTATTTTCCTTCTATTTTAGAGAGAGAATCATTAGAGAAGAATTAGAATAGAATTAGAATTAGTTTTTGATCAAATTAGAGAGGTTTTTAGAGAAAGAAACTCTAGGTTTTAGTGAGAGAAATTCATGGTGGATTGTTGATGATTGAAGCTTTCTTTAATTCCTTTGCTCTTTGATCAAGATTGTAAGATTTCCTTTTCTTTAATTCAATCTTTAGTTTAATCTTTAGTTTGATTTCAATTGTTTTGTTGAATGTTCAAGTTTGATTGAAGTTTGATTGATTTCTGATTTGATTATAGTTTGTTCAATTTGATCATGATGAATTTGTTGTTTAGCTTTGTTTTGATCTTGATTTCTATGGATTATGAGCAGTTAGATTGCTAGGGTAATGGTGAAGCATGTATGAGTAATGTATTGATGCTAACTAGGGAAAATTGATGGAATTGATGATGTGATTAAATTTGGTTGATGATCATGTGCATGTGTGTGATTAATTAAAGTGTAGCTAACTTTGATTGTTGCACTAGATTGCATTGTAATTTCACATTGATACGGACCATTGTTTTGTGGCTTGCATTTACACGATTGAAGTGTCTTATGATGTTTCCTAACTAGAGTTTATCGTAGTTGACGCTAGTTAGACATCTAGGAGAATAGCTTGATATGCTCTATTAGTTGCATGATTGATCTTCCCTCACATTGCTTGACTTAGCCAATTTAACTTCCCAATTAGTTGATTCCAATATGACTACATGTGGATCCTAGCCCTAGTGCTTATTACATTTGATTTCTTCTCGTTTATTTGCCGTGATTGTCTTAGTATAGATTTCACACCCTATCTCTAGATTTCGGGATAGCTTGACTATAGACAATAGACAATAGCCCACCATTCCTTTGGGTTTGACCCTCGACTTACCGTTATACCTATATAGGGGTGTGTTGAGTGTTTATAAATATTGTTTGACCTTGGGTAGGGGTTAGCCCCAACGACCTAGCTTCGACCCTCGTCACATTTAATCAACACACTCATGTATGTGAAGAGTATGGTTCTCCAATTAAAGAGTGTAAAGGGTTCCAATAAACCACTTTAAAATAAAGGGTACCACTAACAAGTTCAAGGCTACCACAACAAATTATAAGGGTACCACTAATAAGACTGATCGATAGAATCACACTTAAGAAGTGAAGGGTACCCTTGGTATGTTAAAGGGCACAGTTAAAAGCATGAAGGGTACTACTGACTAGAGTCAGACCATTGGAACCACATAGGGTACCACCATAACCATGTAGGGTACCGCTGGAACAATGTAGGGTACCATTGGAAAGTAGGCATCTTATCATTGGATACATATGAAACCCTAAGATTAACATTTACAACTTTTTACCAATTTAAAGTTACCAAAGGAAGGAAACCACCCTTTAATAAAATTAAGGAACCATTTCATCACTCCAAGTAAACGTGAATAGAGTGTCCTCCAATTAGAAAGTGCAAAGAGTTCGAATAAATCAAACTTAAGGGAACCATTTCATCGAATAAAATATGTAAGGGTCATATTCTGATATTACATATAAGCCATACATTTTCCACTATTTACCTTATTTACCAATTTAATTTTAGCATGGGGACTATTTAATCAAATTTAAGGGAACCATATAATCAACACAATCCATGTAAATGTGAAGAACATGGTTCTCCAATTAAAGAGTGTAAAGGGTTCCAATAAACCACTTTAAAATTCTAGGGTACCACTAACAAGTTCATGGCTACCACTACAAAGAATAAGAGTACCACTAAAAAGAATGATCGATACAATAACACTTAAGTAGTGAAGGGTGCCCTTGGTAAGTTAAAGGGCACAGTTGAGACCATGAAGGGTACACTGACAAGGGTTAGACCATTGGAACCACGTAAGGTACCACCATATCCATGTAGGGTACCACTGGAACAATGTAGGGTACCATTGGAAAGCAGACATCTTATCATTGGATACATATGAAACCCTAAGATTAACATTTACAACTATTTACCAATTTAAAGTTATCAAAGGAAGGAAATCACCCTTTAAAATTAAGGAACCATTTCATCACTCCAAGTAAATGTGAATAGAGCGTCCTCCAATTAGAGAGTGCAAAGAGTTCTAATAAATCAAAATTAAGGGAAACATTAAATCGAATAAAATATGTAAGGGTCATCTTTTGATATTACATATAAGCCATTTTCCACTATTTATCTTATTTACCAATTTAATTTTAGCATGGGGGACTATTTAATCAATTATCTTTACAGCTTTGGCGATCAAAAACTCTTGACATTTCATTTCACGATCCGTAAACATCTCTATCAGTAAATCTGTATATTGATCAACCTGCTCCAGGAAAGAAGACCACGTCATCAACACATATCATTTCTTTTGATGGCATTTCAATTTAAGCTGTAAGGTACATTCAAGTTCAACAACTAGTGATGAGTTGACTGAAGCAACCTGTGGATGCTCTTAATGATGCAGATAAGAAGGAAAAGATGCACAAAATTCATTATCGTATGTACTAATTGAGGAAAACTATAAGACATTTAAAAGTTAGGATTATTTGTAATTTCAATCAAACTATCAAAAACATTTTATTAGGATTTAGAATATTATTATATTTACAACTAAGAAACGACTCCCTCAGTCCCTATTTTTTTGCTCCTTGTGGGCTATGCACACAAACGAATATGGAGGAAAAGAAGAGAGAAAAGTGTAAGGGGGTTGGTATGGCCCCACCATGTGTAAAGAAGTAGGGAGAAATTTTTTTGTATAAAGAGATGGAGCAAAGAATTTAGGACAGTCTTTAAAGGGAAATAGGATAAAGAATTAGGGACGGAGGGAATAGCATTTGACTTGAAATATATATTCTTTTTCTTCAAGCAAGTTTCAGGCTATGATATCCACATATATTATGGTATTATATGGAGTGAATTTAATAGTGTAAGATAATAAAGTATTGGTTGGAGAAGTTGTCCTTCCAATTTACAATCATTCTCCCATCCCACTGTAGCTAAGCTAGAATCCCACCAAAGTCTGCCTATAATGGAGAAGATATCTGATTAAATAAATATATACTTTAGCCCTGTTCTCTACCAACAATCCGCCTTTGAAGTGTTTGAACACACTCTCAAAAGAAACAAAGGATGTTGACTTCACCTAACCAATCTTCCATTAGCCGCCACCGCTGTCACCACCATAGCTCAACCATCAGCTTGCTAACATCCAATAAATTGTGAAAACAGATGAACAAAGGCAATTTAGTTTGGATGTGATCTAGAGGTGTTACATCAACTGTACAGATGAGTATTCTTAATCCAAATAAATCTAAAATTAATGCAACAAAACAAAGAAAAAGGTATTAAAAATTTAACATATAGGTTCACTTTAATAATTTAAACATAGTAATATGAATAAAAACAACTAATACTTAGCCAGATAAATGTTTTTTTAGACTTTAACAGCCTCCAGAAATCCAGGATAATATAAGGCAATATTTTCAAATCAATCAAAAGTGTTCATACATCTATGTAAATTATGAACAGGCAATATTTTCAAATCAATCAAAAGTGTTCAATACAAAAAATGATCATCAATAAGCAAACACACTTATTAGTATTTAGAATTTTACCGATAATCTTGGACAAAGCTTTACTTTTCTGATTGCTTTCAGAATGTCATCATGAATAGTACTCTGTCATTACAAACAAGCTCAGCAAATTATGAACATAACAAAAAAGCCTGGTAGTCCGTAGTCAGCAGAAAAGCAAGAAAATCCATGCTACCTTCATATTTTCCTCAACACGGTAATACTGGGGCAACAACAAAAAACAAAGTCAATATACAGTCATACACAGGCTAAGGTTCCTATGGAAAATAGGTACACTAAAACCTTCTCAAATTCAAAGAAAGCATTCAGCTTATTGTCTAGCATCAAGTCGTATCTTACTAAAGCAATTAACCAAATCATTCATACAATCATCTTATGCACCAAGATGCGCAAAATCTTAACTGGTATATGCACATACCATATAAGGCTTCTGATATGACAAACTGCTATAATGCTGCACATTGAAAGCAAACATCAAAAGGGATGGAATAATCACATAGAAATGGTAAACGACATCAATAATTCAAAGCTTTACCAAAACCATTCTGCTAAGATCACGTTCGGTCAACAAAGAGTATCTTTCCCGGTCAACCTTTTTATAGAAAATGCACTTGCAAAACTCTAAAACTGATTCATTCTGCAAAAAATACATAATCTTGTGGAATAAACTTGCTAATACCAGTTTTTGACCAAAAGGGAAAAAGACAAAATGCACGGTACATTACACAATACACACACACCTTCTCTCCTACAGGTGCAAGTTCTTCCCAAAACTTGTTTTGTTGATCAATAACCATGCGAGAACTACCCATCCGATAAAAATCCTCCTGTCAAGTATAGATGTATAAACAATATAATAAGTATACAGTAGAAAGGAACAATGATCAGACGCATGTCATCATTCTGGTTTGAAACATCCCAACTTTTAAAGAATATAAAGCAGAGAGAGGAAAGGAGAAAATCATAGGAACTTTTAAGGAATATAATAAGTACCTTGTCATACAACAGGTGAACAAGAGTGGCAAGTCCTTCAATCAGACTATCATAAAGTAGACCAGGTAATTGCTTGCAACCAACCAGAAAATTTCCGCAACTATCTAAGATTAACTCTTTTAATGCAGCTTCCTCAATTGCTTCCAAATGCTCATCAATAGTGACTTCATTAAGGTCGCTCTGGTTATTTTGCAATCCAATAGGATTGAGTTAGTTCATAAATAGATTTACATAAAAGGTTTTCTTCAGGACAAAATCTTACTAACCAGAGTATATAATCTTATTTAATTAGGAAGCACACAATCTTATTCATTTAGGAAGCCCACCAGGAAGCTTAGTTGTGTCGCACACCTGGCTTATGGTGAGGCTCCAGACCTCCTTTAAGGGGCATCAAGTTGCTTACCATAACCCTTGTTGGTACGCAATCATTTATTTACTAGTGTAAAAACTCTCTAAATATTGATTATTTAGACAGCATCAAAAATATTGAGGAAAAAAAAAAACTTCTTAATTTTACATAGTAATTAACCTATCCAATTTGCTTACCATAACCCTTATGTTGCTTACCATAACCCTTATGTTGGTATACAAGCTTTTCCCTTTAATAGTGTATGATTCTGTGATTGAACCATTTTTATCCAATTTGCTATTTCCAACTATCTTACTAACCAAAAGTATGTAATCATAACAACAGAAATGGAGAATAATTGAAGAATAAGTAGATAGAAAAAGATTACAGCAAGTTTTGGCTTCTTCGCCAAAGGTTCATCGCCTGGACTTCCGTTGTCCGACAACGTCTTCCCAGCTTCATCATCTGAACTTTCGTTTTCCCACATGCTGTCCCATTTTTCATCGTATGAACTTTCGCTGTCCGACATCCTCATCCCAGCTTCATCTCCTCCGTCCGGCATCGCCAGAATCAAGTTGGATAAACAAATTTACCAAATTTAGGCGATTTTCGAAATTTGGAACAAATCACTCAATAATTTTGGATTGAAAATTGAAACATTAAAAGCTAAAGCAGAACAATTCAGAAAAAAAAAAAAAAGTTTGGATAATAATCATAAAAATGGAATTTGGAAAGAAATTCAACAACAATAGGTATAATTATTAGCAAAATTAGAAACATACGGACGAGAATTTGATAAGCCAAGAGGGAGAAGGTCAAGAGAATGAAAAAGTTAGGTATTTTAGGGTTATGGATATCGAGAAAGAGGGGTGTAGAACTTTAGATGCAGTGAAATAGGGGAGAACTAAAAGAAGAATTAACAAAAGAATAAGCTTTGACTTTTACACTATTCACACTCATCCTTTGACCGTTGTTTGTGAATAATATATAAGGAAAAATATATTCATGTGAGATCTTTTTGAATTCGTCTCAATAAGTACTATCATAATATGTAACTTTTGTAATTTTTACTTATGGAAAATTAAAGTTATTAATCGTTAAAATTTTGCATTGGCAAACGTGATAAAAGAAACAGGTCAAGTAAAAAAGAACAGAGGAAGTACTTCGTACCGAGTACTTATTCCCAAAAAAAAAATTAAAACAAAAAAAGGACGGAGTACTACTTTAACTCGTGGGATAAACATAGGGATGGTAGTAGATCTGCACCCGACCCGAGGGTGGTGGGTATCTGAGGGAGAGGAAGATCGTTTCTAGAGTTTTACGGGGCTAGGGGAGGTTTTTTCGGGGGAGGGAGATCGGGGAGTGGCGGCGAGGGGCGGGAGAGGTGCGGCGAAGGGCGGCGAGTGGTGGAGGGGGTGCGGCGAGTGGTGGAGTGGTTGGGTGGTGGTTGGAAATGGTGGGAAGTGAAGCAATGTGGTGGTGGTGTGGTGGTTGGATTGGTAGCAATGTTTCCCTTTCTTATTCAAAACAAACAACACAACAAAAGTGGAGGATTTTCATTCCATTCCTTGTCTTTCCCTTTGTTCATTTCATTCTGATTACCCCCGTGCGAACCAAACGGCCCTTAAAACAAAAAAAGGACGGAGCACTATTTTGCTCGTGCGATACACATAGGGATGGTAGTAAATCTGGACCCGGCCCGAATCTTTGGATCTAGATCCGTTTCTCACGTATCTGGGTCTTCAAATTTTGGACCCGTCAGATCCGGGTCCTGCTGTAAAAACAGATTTGGATCCAGGTCTGGCCCCTAGACCCAGACCAGATCCGTTTACCCGTTTTTTAATTTTCTAAAAAAAAAAAAAAAAAAAAAAAAAAAAAAAAAAAAACTAAAATTATTTGTTTTTTTATCAAAAATGTTGGTGACATTAGTACTTCTTAGGGCCTGTTCACATTTATTGAACTGAACTGAACTGAATTGAACTGATTGGAGCTGAATTGAACTGAACTGAACTGAAATTAAGTAAATATGAACAGGCCCTTTGTAGTGATAAAGATTAGCCCTTTAAAGAGATGAATTTTTGATGCTCATATCGGATACATCATCGTTGTTTTTTCACTAGCTTATTTGTTTATAATGTTTTCGTTGTTAATAATTTTTTTATTTTAAAATATCATATCACTTATATATAAAGTCGGTCTCGCAGTCAGGCCACAAGACAGCGACACTTGGCATTCCAATTTTTCGCCATGTGTCGCGCCACACAGGAGATAAATAGGTATTATTGTGACACATATGATTATAAGTAAGTGATTTTTAGATAGATTTTATAAGATGGAATTGTTGTATAGAGTTTTATTATACATTGAATTCTAATATTTCATATGTACAAAATTGATCATAACTTTTATAAATATGTACTCCCTCCGTTTCTTATTTCTTGCAACAATTACCATATTTGGGTGGTTCACATTTCTTGCAACAATTTTTTTTCCTCTTTTAGTAAATTTTTAAAGGTAAATTTACATATGTGCCCTTATTATAACATGATTACTATGCTGATTTATACTAATCTAGATACAATTACCCTAGTTAAATCTAATCAGGAATTAATGATTCCCACCAAATAAATCAACCCCCCTCCCCCCCTAAATCTCCCCTCTTTATATTCATCAGATTGATGAACACATCTGTTCATCTTCCTAAATACTCTATTGAATGCGTTCTTCACCTACCTGCAATAACTCCATGGCTATTTGCTCTCCCCCTCCCCTCTCTCCTCTCTCTCCTCTCTATATAACAATCTCTCTTTCTCTCTCCTGTTCCTTCGAAACCCTAACTCATCTTCTCTCTTTCGCCGTTTCCTTCCTCTTCCATTGATTTCCCCTTTCAGCAATTTCAGATCTGTGAAAAATTCCAAAAAAAGAAAATGAGTTCCTCTCCAACCACCGACGCTTCACTTTTCTGCTACAAAAATCTCTCCCCCCCCCTAGAAAAACCGATTGATGATATTCCTCCATGCACCACTAGATACATATGTGAGAGGGGATCTAGGAAGATCAAACCTCCGCGCCGCCTAGGTTGAGGCCATTGTACTTTCGCTGCCGCCGCGGTGCGAAGCTTACTGAGTACATATCCTCAGACAACGAAAGTGAGGTTAACACAGATCTTGCTTCAAAAAAACCCTAAAAATGTTGTTGAGGTGATAGATCTGGAAGGGGAGAGTGAAGGTGAAGGATCTAGAAAGGGGAAAGGTGTTGTGACTGAGACCCGTAACAAAAGGGAAGGGAGGTGCTTCTGGATCTGGTGTTCTGCTTCCTACTCTAAGGTTGTGGTTGATGGAGCTCAGTCTGTTTATGAGAAGAAGCAGAAGAAGGGGTCCCTCTCAGGGATGAAAAGGGTGAGATCTGGGTTGCTTGTTGATCCGGAGCAGCTTGCTGATGAGGACTACATGGATTTTCTGAGGGATATCCACCCTGAGTAGTTCGCTGGCAACTAATTCTGCAACGTATAACCTTTCTTCTCCCTTCAATTAAATTTATTGTGTTTTTTTTATTTTAATAAAAATGCGTGTGTTGTGTGGTTTGAGTCCCTCTATCATTGTTATGGTTTGAGTCCCTGTGACAGTGATGCTATGGTTGACATTCTGTATGCTATATTCTTGATTTTATGATACTCTGCTGCTGTTGATGATGTATGCCATATTGATGATTTTGATGATATATTGATGATATTGATCATGTATGATGGGTTGATGATGTTGATGGTAGTATGCTTTGTATGCTATCTTGATGATGTTGATGATAGTATGCCCTAAGGTTGTGCTTCATTTAGTTGATGTTGTTGGATCTTAGTTGTTGTTGGAGTATGTAAGGGTGACATGGTCAGGGGAATGTGTAGTTGATGAATGATGGATATTTTGCATTTGGTTTGCTATGGACTATGTTGCCTTATGGTGTTCTGAGTCCCTACATTATTCTCAATGACATTGTAATGAGAGAACACTATGGTTGTATGTTGGGTATGCCATGTATTCTGATGGATAATAAGTTGCCTTAGGTTTAATTTGTGAGTTGTTCCCCCTTCTGCATGTCTCCATCTGCCTTTTTGTGTAAACCAAATGATGAGACTCATTTGATTCATTATTTCCTGTGATAGAGTTGCTCCATCAATGGTCTTATGGCCTTGGTGTTGAGGTACATCATAGAGCAGCTTTTTGATATATGCATACCCTTACAGATGGTAATAAGTGCTATGAGTATAATACACCAACATTGATCATGCAATAGAGTACATTAAGATAACAAAGTTCACACTACATTTCAAAATACTGAGGCCCTATATTACATGACTACCTTACATGTCTTCAGTGTCATTCATCAAAATACACATAACCTAAGCATTAAACATTGATCTTGAACAAAAGGTGGTAAAAGGGTAACTGTAACTCAAACATTCTTACCAGAATTTTCAAAATACTATGAAGGTTATGTGTGGCAGTCATTGTGCATTGAGAGGGTCCCTTTTTGTGATGTCTTCACTTCAGTCAGTATCAACTTCCACGTATGCTTCTTCCTCTGTTGCATGTGGAGTTGGGATGAACATTGTGTCTAGCAATGTCACAGCTTGTTGAATGAGCTCCTTTGGGACATGTAGATGTTTGGGTAAAACACCTAATCTTTCCAGCTTCTTCTTCTTCATATGTGGTGGTGAAAAGTTGTTGTTCCCTTGCTTTTCTAGTATCTTTATCATGAATTCATGACTGATTGAAGTGTTAGCCATATGTACTTGTTGGCCTTAACTTCAAATGCATTGTAAGCATTGATCACCTCTTTGATTAAGTCATCCAAAGTAGTTGGGAATACTTGATATTGGAGGGATTGTATGACTTTGAAAAGCCCTAGGTCTAGCACATTCAAGTTAGGAGATTGTGCTGGTTGGTATACCATTTCTATGTTGAACCCATTTGCATGGCATGCAGCAACAAATTCCTCATCTTTTGGCACTTGATGAGGTCTTGCATTATCCCACTGTATTTTCACATTTTTGGGGAGTCCCTCTGGCCACTGTTGATGTATTGCTGGGATGATGTAGTCCATAAGCATTTCCCTGATTGCATCTTTGTTTACATTCTGCACAGCCTTTGTCTCCATTGTACCAGCTTCTCTGTTTTTACTCTTTTTCTTTGCCATCTGTTTTTTGACTAATGGAATGATACCATACTTTCCATCATACAAAAGAGTCCCATCTCTTGCATACAAGGGTTTCCCAATCATTGCCATGAACATGGCCTTAACCTTAAACCTCTTTGACTGTTGACACCTATAGGGGTCTTCTTCTTTTGGCAGCAGGTAGAATTTTCTTGTTTCTGGGTTCAAATAGAACCATTTTTCATCAATATGAATTGTGTCTTGCATGTCAACAAACTTTGGGTTCCCTTGACTTGGAATGGGGTTAATGTGACTTAACACCCACTTATTCTTGCCACCTTGTGATTGGATGTTAAAGTTGGATGATTTGTGCTTGTGTGAGTTCTGAGTCTTCCTTTCTTTCTTAGTTTGTGAATTGTTGAATGTGAAACATTTAATGCTCCAGCATAGCTTCTCTCTGTGGTCCTCTTGTACAGAGGCACAGATTGAAGCCATTCATCAGAGTACTCTTTTGGTTTAGGCCCTAAACTGCCTAATTTCTTTGACCTGACATCAATGACATTCCCCTGTACCATCTGCTTCTTAATGTCAGCATTTAACCTTGACATTGTTGATCTATGAATGTCAAATTTTCTTGCTAGTTGTGATAGAAAACCTCTTGACAGTTCCCCCCCCCCCCCTTGCATTTTTAGCAGAAGTGCATCTACAATCTGCCTTTTCTGTTCCATGGTGAGGTCTCTCCTTTTCTCTCCTCCCTGTAGTTGTTGCTGGTTGTTTACGATTTGGGAATATGCCCATTCTGCAGCATATTCATCATCTGAGTCACTACTTGACTGTGATGATTCACTTGAGTATGGTTGATTTTCTTCACCAAGTAACTGTTCTAATGAAAAGAATTCTTCATAATCCATGGACAGATATTAACCTTGTTTTTTTCCAGGTCTTGGGATGGTGATGAAGTGGAGGATGCAATTTTTTGGACAACCCTAACTAAACCAGCTTTTGGATGAAGTCAAAGTGAAGATGATGCCCCTAATTTAGCACTAATTAGGTTAGGTAATGTAGGATTTGGGTAATTATGGTAGGATTAGTTGTAGGTTAGTGCTAACTTTTGAAAATTCAAGCTGAAATGTATTCATTAGGAGGGAGTAGAACTTGTTGATTTATTGATGAAACAAAAATTTGTGGCTTTGTTTTGAACATTTTATAACCCCATTTGCTTGTGAAAAGTAAGTGGAGAGAAGAATTTGATGCATATTTGGCAAAATTGAATTTTGGTGAAAATTTGGGAGGGAAAAGTACACCCTCCCAAAAATCAGCCCATGTGAATGGTTTAAAAAACAAGTGGTCCCTTTCAATTCCCTTCTTTTTTAAAGTTAATAACATGGGATTAAAACTTGCTTTACTCCCTTAAAAGTTTTGACTTGGGAATTGTGCTCACCCCCTTTGTTGCAAGAAATAAGAAACAGAGGGAGTATAAATAAATTCTATTTCCATCATCAAATTCGTTTTAAAAAGTTCATAAATATAAGGTCCATTTATAGTATAATTAATTAATTACAAATTTTTATACGTAGCTAGCCAATAAAGTCGTGTCACTAACTATTAACGGAGTTAGGGTCTGTTCTCATTGACTGAACTCAACTGAACTGAACTGAGTTGAGCTGAACAGAACTGAACTAAACTAAACTGAGCTGAACTGAACTGAACTGAAATTAATATTTTATAACAGAAGGAAATTAGGAGCTGAACTAAACTGAAATGAACTGAACTGAATTGAACTAAATTGAATTGAGCTGAACTAAGCTGAATTTCAACGTATGAGAACAGGCTCTTACTTCGTTAGTGTTATAGGGGTTACTTGGTCAGTGTTATAGTGGTTACTCAAATAGCAATAATATAGATGGTTACTTAGTCAGTGTTAGAGGTTACTCAGTTAGTATTATGGGGGTTACTCGGTCAGTTTTGTACGGGTTACTTTGTCCGACCAGATTGTGTGGCTATTCGCATAAAAAATGCATTTGTACTTAATTTATTTTAAAAAAATATTAGAGAATTAGTAAAATTAATTTTATTTTGGTAAAAATGTTGTTTTAGTAATAATTTAAGTTCAATAAAAATAATTTCAAGTCAATTATAACATAGAAATCTATTTACAAACAAAACTACAAATAGTACACTATTATATAAATAATCGATATGATATTGTATGTACCTAAACATTTACATAAAAAAAAAGAATGATATAATCATATATTTAACATTCAAGCTAACTTTAGGACAATCCAGTCATCATCTGAGCACAAAACTATATCATATCATATTAGTAATAAATAAAGTCGGTCTCGCAGCCAAGTTACAAGACTGTGACACTTGAGATTCTAGTAAGTGTATAAGGTGGTTACTTTGTCTTTTTATATTACTAGGGGATCCAACGCGCGCGATGCGTGCGATATGGCTAGTTTTTTTAGAACGGATTTTGTGGTTGGTGTTATATTTTAGAACCGTTTGCATGTTTTTTTTTATAGCTAAGCTAGATCATATTGTTCTTGTTTATTCACAAACCATAAATGATAAATAAGAAGTTCTACATGCATTTGAGCATGAATACTAATGTCGTTGAGTGTTTGTACCTGCATACTGTAAACAGTCTTAAAATAGTGTACGGTACGATCATAAAAATGACTATTCTTTAACTATTTGAGTATGAGCCAAAACACCAGCAAAACAACTTTGTAAGGGTGAGAAATAACCTTACCTAAAAATGAAGTATCCATGGAAATAATATCTAATACTTTAAGCCACTAACACAAATTGAATACAATACTAAAATTGTTGATAACACTTTATACATACGAAGTATAAGAGTTTAGAGTTCTTCTCTAGAAACCGCTCTTAACCATCTTCTTGAGATCATCTCCTTGCTTGCAATCTTAACATCTCTAAAGAAACAACGTTTCCATGCCAAACTATTGACTTGAGTCCACGGTGGAGGTTAAGAAAGGGCTAGAGGTTCGTATATTCCACAATAAAAATATAAATATTGTACATGAAAAGGAAATGTTCTTTTCATGATACTTGTTATAATCATGGACCCATTATTTGCGATTCTTAGACAAACTAAATCCTGTCAACATAAATATCATGTCCTCTTGGTGTATATCAGAGATTGATTTTCAATAATGTATGGCAACTATATATCACCATTAACAAAAGACATGATTTAATGTATGAGATTTAATTAAAAGCATGGATAATGGAGCTCAATCATGCCTAAATGTCCTGAAACATGAGAATAATTTGATGCAATAAACCTAAAGAGGTCATTCTTTAGTAACATACTCATTAACTAACAACTGATAATTATCCTAATTTAATTCAAAATTTGATCAAAATTTAGCCACACACTTTATAACTTGGGTATGAATTCTAGCTGTATACATAATATGTAAATATATAGCATTATAGTAAATTCAAGCAGTTGCAAACTTGCAATGGATACATGTGACAGATTCCATTTTTAACATTGGAGCGAATTTCGTTGCTAACTTAATCCCACTATCAAACTACCAATTAAGTAATAATAAAAATCCAAATTTTTGTTCACCCTCTCATCTATACAATATAGAAATACGACAATACCAAATAATCCAATCATAAAGTACTATATAATTCAATCTTACAGTTTATTTTGTAATTAGTTTATGAACCTACCTTATTATGGCATTATGCACCTGTTATCAATTACACTACAACAATAACAAAGCCTTAGTCATTCTGAATCTATTATCAATCACACTCAAATACAGTAATTCCAACAAAAAAAAAGAAAAAAAAGACACTCCCTCTTCCTATAATGGAATTCTAAACATGATCAATCAATGTTGAATTCGATAAACAATTAATTGAAGACGAATTCCAAGCTCAAAATATATTCCTCAAAACATTTAATCCTTATCTATCAGACAAAATCATAAACTAATTCCTCAAATCATGAAATCAAAATCAATTTATCAACACATTCGATTCATCATTTCAAAGTATTCTTCTCAAATTACAATCATATACCATAAAAATGACCAAAAATTACAAATAATTAGTTCAATTATGCCAAAGAAATAAATCACAAATTTTCAACCTAGGAGAAAGAGAAATAAATTACCAGCACAAGTCATATAAGCAATGGAAGCATAAGCTCAATGTTTAATCAAGCACGGTGGAACCTCGAAAGAAGATGTGCCATCAAGCTAAGGAGTTAGACATTAGAGGAAAAGCAAATGAAAAATCGTGATTGAAACTTTAGAGAAGATTTACCAGTCAGGGCCTCAAAGCAATATAAAGGAGAGATAAGGAAAAGGTATCAAAAGTTTAAAACTTTAAATGAGGGTAAAAATGTAAATAAACTTTTTTAGGGGTATAAATGGAATCACACTATTTATAAGAGTTTGTTTCCACTAAGTTTAAAACTTTAAATAAGGGTAAAAATGTAAATAAATTTTTTTAGGGGTATAAAAGGAATCACACTATTTATAAGAGTTTGTTTCCACTTTTTATAAAGTAGGGAATTGTACTCCGTATAACTTTAAATTTGGTTGAAATTAATAACCCCCGATGGAAGTTTGAAATGTATTTTTTGACCCAAACATTTTATAGCAAAAAATTAGGCAAAATATATTGGACCCGTATCCAGACCTAGATCCGTTGGACCCGTCGGATCTGGATCCGGGTCTCCATTTTCCAAACCCGACGAATTTGGGTCGGATTTGGATCCTTGATACAAAAATAGATCTAGGTCCGATCCATTAGAACCCGGTCCAGATCCGACCCGTTGCCATCCCTATACATGAGTCAACATCAATAATCAATAATCAATCAATAACCAATAACCAATAACCAATCAATCAATCAATAACTAAATACTAAAAGACACACCAACAATGACACGTGTCATCTCATGGTGTGTCCTGTTAAAAAATTAAATCAATTATAATATGATATCTTATACAAGAATAATTTCTTACATATATATATGTTAATAACAAAATAACATATGTTAATAACAAAATAACATACTTATTGATTAGAATTCACATCAAAGTGGTGTGTATATTTATTTTTACTAGCTTAAGACCCGTGCCTTGCGCGGTAAGTCTAATTTTTGTTTGAATATCCAACAAATAAAATTTGATAAAACATACACATCAAGTATAGAAATTATAATGTCATTATATATATATATATATATATATATATATATATATATATATATATATATATATATACTAGGTTAGATCCCGTGCCATGCACGGTGATCTATAGTTATAGATTATTGATTGAAAATTAATATAATTATAAATGATTCGTCGAGGGATAATAAAAGTATGTGATAGGTTAATTTTTATATTTGTATTTTTTAATTGTCGCTTCCAATGCACAAATAAATAAAGGTAGACAAAAAAAATCGAGCAATCTTTTTTCTTGTTGTAAAACAAGTAAAAAAAATATTTTAAGTATATAATTTTTGGTTTATAGTTGACTAACCTTTTTTTAGAAAGATTTGTGAAATATTTTTATTTTAATATACTAATAATTACCACATTAATATGGAATATGTATAAAAATTTATATATTTTGAATGATTTGCTTACTTAATTAATAAGTAGATTTTTTTAGTAAAAAAAAAAACTAAGGACACACCAGGAGATAACACGTGTCATTGCTGGTATGTCTTTTAGTATATAGTATTGATATAGTTGACTAACCTTTTTTTAGAAAGATTTGTGAAATATTTTTACTTTAATATACTAATAATTACCACATTAATATGGAATATGTATAAAAAAATATATATTTTGAATGATTTGCTTACTTAATTAATAAGTAGATTTTTTTAATAAAAAAAATTACTAAGGACACACCAGGAGATGACACGTGTCATTGCTGGTGTGTCTTTTAGTATATGGTATTGATATATATATATATATATATATATATATATATATATATATATATATATATATAGGCAAGCAAAAAAAAAACAAAAATGGATTTTTTGGGCTGCCTAAACCCTAGAATTTTTTGGGTGGGGCTTGGTTTGATCAGGTCTAGTGGTCATATTAGTAAATACTTATTTGTTAATGAATTTTTTATAAACATAAAAAATTAATCAAACAATAGACTAAAATTAATTGATATTTTACCTTTTCCTAGAATTATATGATATAATTGTTGAACACAATATTAATATTACAGCTAGTTATACTATACTCTATAAGTCCTTAATTTATAATAATATATACTTAGTAGTTTAATTTCAGAAACAAAACTATAATTAATTTGAATATATAGTCATATTGAAATTGAAAAAAAAAGGTGTTTTTAAAAGTAATTCCTTTAACATCTATTATATGAATCAATTTATTACCCCTCAAAAAAAAAAAAAAAAAAAAAGAATCAATTTATTATTACTTTTTTTTTTGACAAAATATAATAATACTGCATTTGAAAGACAATTAAAAAGGATTTGGAATAATTATTTAGGTAAATGTGTATAGACTAATTATGAACACAAAAAAATAAAAGAATATATTGTCATAAAGACAATGCAAAATATTTGGAATGGTATTATTATAGAATCAAAATCAAATATTAACAAAAAAAAAAAGTTGTCATAAAGATAACATAAAATATTTGGAATTATATTATTATAAAATAAAAAATAAAATAAAATAAAGTTTAAAAAGAGAAGGGAGTTTTGGAGGAAAAAAATAGCATCAGGATGTGACACGTGTCACTTTCGGTGTCTGTTTTAGTATTAAGTTATTGATTGATTGATATTTTTTATTTTTGTAAAATAACCAATTATATTCAAAATTTGATATAAACTAGTATACTAAAAAGAACTAGTGAATAGCCCCGGGCGTTGACCTGAGTTGCTACTATTGCAGACATGTAATCGAAATTTTTTTTTACAGGTTTTTTAAAATTTAAACTGTCATTGTCAAATTAAAATGAGAAATATCATGTATCTCAAGTAGAGTTACACTGAACCATCTCAAAAAGGCACGTGATCTTTTTGCGTGGTAATGGTAAGGTTAATGTTGTAATTTTAGGTTAACCTTTAGCGCATAACTCCTATTGGTTTAACAAACATATAGGATGAAAAATGTACTATTACAAGTATAATAGGTGACAGGTGGTAAGTATTTTGAGGAAAAATATTCAAACTATAGGATGGTAAAAAGTACCACTACATAAATAATAGTACACAAAAAGTACTATTCAAATAACTTATATTTTAATAGTACATTATACATGCATAATGGTACATTAATGATACATTATAATGTATCACGACAGAGTCAGCTATTTTCAAAAGCTTGCCATATTTACATTTTTGCCCTCTATGCACTGAGGTGCTCTTGTAGTTTTGTCTTAGATTCCTTTATATCAAAATCATCCTCATCTTGGACATCTAATTGTTGGACCAAGATGGAATACAAACTAGGTTATACCTCCATACCCTCCCAAAAAACCAAGCTAGAACACTAAAGAGAAAAACTAGGAAAAAAAAAAACAAGGCTTCCACTTCAAAGACACAAAACAAAGCAAGACCAAAAGGAACAATGGAACAAGAACCAACCTAACCTTGGCACCTTGCCGATCGATCGCTTAGCTTAAACGCTTTATTAAGGGGGGTAAGCTGATACCCACCAATCTACGTGTCCGGATCGTAATCGGCCTTTAGGCTATGCTCCCCGGCGACCAGCGAAAGAGGCAAGGTGGCCGCTGGCGAGCTGCTTTGCTAGTGGGTGGTGGAACTTTCGAGAGAAGTAGGACATTCACTCTCTAGACTTTTTTGTTTTCTCAGAAACCTTTTCAACACTATATTTAAATTATTTAGTAGAGCCATTTATAATTAAAGTATTTAAACATCACACCAAAAGAAGTGGCTGCAATGAAATCTACAGAAACAAAGGTAATATAATAGATTAAATTCAAAGTCCTAAACATTGATTCAATACTTGTCAAAAGTATGGCAGAGATATTATTTCGTGGTAAACGTAATAAAAAAAAAGGCAATGGTTGCAACTCTTGATGTCCTCAACTAGTATGGTAAAGGAACATTGATAGACCACTGGATGAGATGATATTGAATGCTCTAGATTAAGTATGCTTCAGATTTGCTGAAAACCCTGAGTGGAACGTCATATACATCATCTGCCAATACAATTCAGAGGCTTGAGACAATGTTTCCTACGTTTGAAAGTAGGCACCCAAGTAGGAGGGAGTAGCAGTGATGCAGGGCTGCTCTGCTCTATTCCCACCTGACTGACTTGAGCACCCAAGTAGGCACCTTGTTCCTTGATACAAAAATTCATGGATTAGAAAATGGTTTGCAAGCAGGTCCCTTGCAATTGTCCCAAAACGAGTGTCCCCAGGCAAAACCACTGTCACTTTCTCAAAGATCTCCGCAGCCAAAAGTCTGAATAGTTTCTTGCATTCTTCAGTGAAAGCTGTAAAGTGCATTGATCTAGATCTATCCGACACATCAAACTTGAATGTTATGCTGCATATAAGAACAGTAGGTACATATAAGTATAGACAGATTCAATTGCATTAACAATACCTACGGCACCCCTCATGCAAGCAATACTTGAAAGTATGGCAGTTTACCACATTTGTTGCAACCAGGAAACACAACAAAGTCAACATCATGGACTGATCAGGTTCAGGTATAATGACTTACAACCAATGCTTCCCTACTAGGAGTGTGTGTGCGTGTGTGTGCGCGCGCGTATGTTGTGTGTGTATAAAGTTGGTATCAGAAGACAGATGCATGTTAAGTATATATATATAATGACAAATTTGTTTCCACACCACAAGGGTTAATGTAAATGAATATGAAACAGAGCATAGAGAACCTTTCTCTGTTTGATGCTTCCAATTTGTCTAATGACTTTCTGAGGATGAATTCTAAATTTCCCAAATTCATGCCATTTGGTCGCTTAACATGAGCATATTTGCTGCAACCCTACAGGCACACCAATGGTTTTTTTAAACTTCAGGAGACAATTCGGGGATTGCAAGCATATAACAAATTAGACAGAGTCGCTCATCCTTAAAAGTTGTTGAAACTGCTAGTTGGCAGAGAAAATTCTGTTTGGAAAACATAGAGAAGCACAAAGGCTCAGAATTTTTGTTTGTTTAACAAACTTAGGTTGGTGTAACATAACACCTTTGTAAGCCGATGGTTTCAAGGTGAGGAAATTTTAGGTTATTAGTTTCAGCGAAATCATCCCAAGCAGATATTGTCATCGACTGCTCTGTACTTCACAGTAAGAGAGCCTAAAGTAGGACAAATGACTATCAGTGGAAGAATTAAACTGAGCAGCAGACAAGTGGCTAACCTGTGGATTGTGATCACAATTAATTTTGCGCACTGGATGATCAACTCCATGCACTGTTGTCAAATTCTAAGCTCACTAACAAAAAAGATAACTCCCAATACATCTGCAAATAGGTTAAAGACAGGAGTAAATGGCTGTCAAAGATAACTATTTGCAAAAGATTTATAAGGAAATACCATAGCAATCAGTTTGGTTGTATGTGTGTGGGACAGCTGCAATTGAAACATACTTGGGTAGGACAGGTGCCTTATCAGTACTTAGCGTCTGTATTATGGCTTGGCCTCCAAAACTCATCTAGCAGTCATCAGGCCTGGCTGCGTACCGACCAACAAGTCAACCACTGGTCTAAGTGATGCATTGGCAATTTCATAGTCCTTGACCTTTTGCCAGAAATCTTTGTACTCCTCAATCTGGTTCTCAAACATTGTTATGGCAGAGTGTTTTTCTGTGCATTTATGGCATGCAGACAGAAGCATTAGTTGCAATGCCTTTTGCTATCAATTATACAAGAATCATGTCCACCTGGCTCATGTGATTGTTTTGACTACAAACTAATGTACCTAAGCTAGTTTGGGTTCATTCTTTGTGTATTCAGAATGAATCCAGTAAGGTAGTTCTTTCGTTAGCATGCATTTCATGTCTGTAAAGCTAATGGGGAAAAAAACAAGGAGCAAAGTGGGGGTGGATAAAAGCCAGGAATTTGTATTCAACCGGAACAAACAAAAAGTTAACGATGTACAAATAAGCAGCTTATAGAAAATCGTATACATATGTAGACCAATAAATGAATCCATTATTTTCAACTTATTTTTCCATACCATATAACAATATACATCGATGACTCTACAGAGTACAATACTACATAATAGCCTTAATCAAAGCTAAATAACTAGAAGACATCAACTTCCTATAGACAATCAAACATCAAAGTGATCAAAGTCTTCTTGGAAATTTTATTTTGGTAAAATACAGATTAATTTTTAAGCTCTTCGTTGAATGTTTGCCTCGTTTCTCCTTAGAGGGATTTGAACTATTGGTGGTGCTAGATGTTCTAAAGGATACAGGGATTGCAAAATGGTATTTACAGTAAAAAAATATAGTCTGTCACTCTGTCAGTTACAGCACAACAGAGGAGACAATTTTTAAGGGCCAAAAAATTGTTGGACAATGTTCCTTACTTGGCAATAAATCGCGTTTGTGATGTCTCGGAATAATTGCCAAAAGTTGCTGCTGCCTAAGTCCTTCCATCTCCATATACGTGTGGCACGTGAGAAGTTTCGGAAGACAAAATGATAAGCTCCAAAATATAAGATATAAAGAAAAGAAAAAAGAAAGAGATAAGTCAATGTCCTGCCTAGGGAAAACAAATAAATGGGAAATGGCAGCACAAAGCAGAATAATCCACATGGTGATGAGAAAGAAACTATACCTGATTTAGACATGTTACTTTCAGCTCTGTGTTTGACACATCTGAAGTTTGTTGCTCAAGGTCAGTCAATTTGTACGCAACAGTGCCTAGGTGATCTACAGCATTTACTAGGCTCGTACAGCATAATCTTTTAGGTTGTCCAATACCCTGTGGCATAATTCACACAAAAATCATAAAGACTAAAGAAAAAACATCACAAATAACTCAAAGAGTTGTGTGTGTGCTGTGCGTGTGTGTAAGTGTGAGTTCCAGTTCGTTTCTTTTCCACAAATAAAATGGATTTAAAACTTTACTGTATAAATATACAAAATTATGTTATCAATATTACTGTTTAAAACTCTATATGAAAATATAGGAGTGATTAGGATCAATAAGTTTCCTACTCTCTTGGGATAGGGGTAGGCACCAAATGAAAGACTACACGACTGATTAATAACACAGGTAAACTTACAATAATTATACAGTAACATTACATTTGTTTCTGCTCACTATGAAGATAAGACTTCTCGCAGTATTCAGCGGCAGAGTAAAGCTGGGGTCTCAGATTCTTGAGTTCCTGTAAAGCAATAGAACAAAATGATCATAATTAAATAGACAAGACAACAAAGAGTAAAAATACAATGACGAACAGACACAATAATTGACTTCTTAGAAATAATGAAGATTTAGGGATTACTATATGCAGAACTTCTAGTCACTACCATTCTTTTTTCTCCACAGAAACCAACGAGTTAGCTGCATTAGCAGCTTTTTTAGGGGAAGTTACATATTAAGAGTTTTCCAGAAGAAAAAAAATGCTACGTAATACATAACTAGGAATAATTACTGAACCATAGCATGTCAAGCACCATTTATCCACAGCAAACAAAACCAAACTTCTTGTTATAGGAGCTATAACAGCAAATGCAATAACTTTCCTTCAGCACTGCAGTTACTTTTCACCACACAAAACCATCTTTATAATATTGCTTCCCACTTCTCCTAAGTTTAATTGCTGCTTAGCAAAAACAGAGTAGAAAGGAAACCACATGGATCAAGCTGAGAAAAAGGTGCAGATGTCTCTCCAGCAAGAGTGCAGGACAGGCTAATTCATTCAACATTACACTATAGTTATATTTACAATAAAGAGCTAAAAAAATGTTCAGCACATATATCCTTCTATGTTTCACAGTATTCCTTGGCGTAATTATTCAACCTTTTATATTCAAAACGAAGTAGATAGATGCTAGGAAATGGGTCAGAAAAACAGAGCAAGTAAGCAAATTAGAGAGAAAAATAGCTAGAACCAGATAGATTGTATTGCAAGTCAGAGTAACTACAATACAACTCCTTTCTTTTGAGAGGAAAGGATGCTCTCCCAAGGAATGAATTCCACAAAATGATTTCTAGATAGATTCCCTCCACAATTATTCCCTTAAATAACCAAAGATAACTAACAAGCTACCATAACAAACTCGGCACACAAAACAAGGACTAACAAATTTATTTCTTAATTACTGATTTACCCCTCCCTGTAACTAACTTCCAGCTCACCCAAAACCAGCTCACTCTCTTCTAACAGCTCCTTGCTTGGGCTTCCTTCTTGTATATGGGCTGATCTCTTGCAATACCTCCCACCCAAAAAAGCACCTTGTCCTCAAGGTGGAAGTGAGGGAAGCAAGCAGCAATGTCATCATGGTCTTCCCAAGTTGCTTCAAAATCTTGCAGCCCCTTCCACCTGATCAGAACCTGGCCTGGCAGCCTGAGAACTCCTAACTCCAAGAACAGAATCTGGCTCCACATCCATCACCAAGTCAGCAGAGAGCTGGCAGGTAAAGAAGTAGGCACCTGACAATTATTCCAGGCCCCAAAGCTTTCTTAAGCTGAGAAATGTGAAAAACGGGGTGTATTTTGGCAGAAACAGGCAGCTGCAGTCTGTATGCCACCTTCCCTACACGCTCCAACACCTGATAAGGCCCATAAAAACGAGGAGAGAGCTTCTCAGATTGCCTCCTTACCACGGAATGTTGCCTATATGGTTGTAATTTGAGATAGACCAAGTCCCCTACCTCAAATTCCCCTTCCCTTCGAGACTTGTTCTCATATTGCTGCATATAAACCTGAGCTTGCACCAAGTGATACTTCAAATCATCCAAGATTGCATCCCTCTCTTGTAGTTGATCTTTCAAGGAAGAAATGGCAGTGGCTCCCTGAGAAAATCTGAGCAAACGGGGAGGGTCTCTACCATACAAAGCTTTGAATGGAGTGCATTGAGTGGCAGTGTGAAAGGCCGTATTGTACCAATATTCAGCCCAATGCAGCCAAGTTGCCCAAGTAGAAGGCTTCCCATTCACAAGACAACGCAAATAAGACTCCACCCCTTTGTTGACAACCTCGGTTTGGCCAATCAGTTTGCGGGTGGTAAGATGTGCTTTGATGAAGATTAGTGCCTTGTAACCTGAAGAGTTCTTTCCAGAAAATAATAAGGAAGATTTTGTCCCGATCAGACACAGTAGTTGATGGCATTCCATGCAACCTCACCACTTCTTTTACAAAAACTTTAGCAACCATTTGAGCAGTATATGGGTGCTTAAGGAGAATGAAGTGACCATACTTGGTCAGACGATCCACAACTACCAAAATAGTATCCCATCCCAAAGACTTAGGTAGTCCCTCCACAAAGTCCATGGAAATATCTTCCCACACAAGCTCGGGAATGGGGAGAGGTTGTAGAAAACCAAGAGGAGACAAGGTGGATACCTTGTTTTGCTGGCATATGTGACAATTTTGAACATATTTTGTCACATCCTAGCGCATTCCCTACCAATACCATTCACTAGCGAGCCTTTGGTAAGTCTTGAAGTCCCCATCGGAGAGTCATAGTATTCCCTAAGCAACCCTGTGGTAAGATCACTATGCTTGGGAATGACCACCCTTTGCTTGTATTTTAGTACCCCATTTTCCAGAGTAAAGCCCTTGGGAACTGACTCACCAGCCTGTAATTGAGCAGTGAGTTGCTGGATGGTGGTATCTTGCTTGATAAAAGAGTGGATAAGCTGCCACTGAATCCCACAAGAAGTTACCACAGAAGCACATTCAACTTGAGTACCATGCTGTCTGGACAAAGCGTCTACCACTTTATTAGTTGGCCCCGGTTTATAGTGTATATCAAAAGAGTACCCCAAAAGCTTACTCACCCATTTTTGGTAAGCTTGTCCTACCACCATCAGTACGCACCACAAACTTCCTCCCTAACAAGTAATGCCTCCACTTCTCGATGGCAAAAACAATTGCCATGAGTTCCTTCTCATAAATGGGCTTTGCTCTAGCCCTTAACCCCAAGATCTTGCTGAGAAAAGCAATGGGATGGTTGTTTTGTAAGAGAACAGCTCCTAATCCATGTCCCGAGGCATCCGTTTCCACAATGAAAGGTAGAGTGAAATTAAGAGCTGCTAGAATAGGGGCTTTGATCATTGCAGCCTTGAGTGCCTCAAAGGCCAAGGTAGCATCATCAGACCACCCAAAAGAATCCTTGCGCAATTGATCGGTTAAAGGTTGGGCAATGAGGGCATATCCTTGAATGAACTTCCTATAATACCCCGTGAGACCAAGGAAGCCATGCAATTCTTTAATGGAGGTTGGCACAGGCCACTCCATCATAGCCTAAACCTTGGAAGCATCCACTTCCACACCTGCTGCTGAAATTCATGCCCCAAGTATGCCACCTTAGTTTTACCCACCTCACACTTCTTAAAATTCGCATACAACTGATGAGCCGCCAATGTTTGTAACACTTGTCTGAGATGATCATGGTGGGACTCTTCACTTGGGCTGTACACCAAGATATCATCGAAGAAAACCAAAACAAACTTGCGCAAGAAGGGCCGAAACACTTCATTCATAAGTGACTGAAAAGTTACGGGTGCATTGGTGAGTCCAAAGGGCATCACCAAAAACTCGTAATGCCCTTCATGGGTGCGAAAGGCAGTTTTAGGCACATCATCTTTGCGGACCCTAGTCTGGTGGTATCAAGATTTTAGGTCAAGTTTCGTGAAAATGGAGGAACCACACAATTCATCCAATAACTCATCAATCATTGGAATAGGAAATTTATCCGGCACTGTGTCTTTGTTCAACGCCCTGTAATCTACACAAAAACGCCAACAGGACAGGACTAGAATAAGCACTAGTGGATGATTGAATTATACCTGCTCGTAGCATGTCAACCACCAATCTCTCAATCTCATCCTTCTGAGATTGTGGGTAACGGTACGGGCAAACACTTATGGGATTTGCTCCAGAGGGTAATAGAATGTTCAATATGTCGAGAAGGGGGTAGGCCATCAGGCATGTGAAACACTTGTTGGTACTCCTCAATTAAGGGCTGGAAAATGGCAGGGATAGAAGATGGCTCCTCCACCGTACTCTCCAAGTGATTGAACTCGAGTAAGAAACCTTGACCCTCCTTCTGCAGGGACTTAATCATGGCTTTGAGCGTGATACAAGTTCTGCCTAAGTGAGGATCCCCTTTCAAAGTGACCATCTCCCCTCCTACTTGAAACTTGAGTGATTGGGTTTTCCAGTTTGTCATGGTGGTGCCTAACTTCTCTAGCCATTGAACTCCCAAAATCAAGTCCGAGTTGCCCAAGGGTAACACCAAGAAATCCTCCACAATTGTAACCCCTTGAACATCCAAGACTACTCCCCTACACACGCCACTGCCTGCACCATATCCCCTGTTCCCAGCGTTACCCCAAAATTCGCCGCCTGAGTCACCGGAAGCTGGAGATGTTGAGCAGCCACGGAGGAGACAAAATTATGCGTCGCCCCGGGTCCACCATCACCACCACTTCTTAGTCTTTAATCGAACCGATCATGCGCATAGTTTTAGGGATCGTAATCCCCATAACAGAGCACAGGGCCACTGTCGGGTTGGTTGTGGGTTCAATTTCGGGTGGGTTAATGTTTAGGTTGGCTACAAGCTCACCGGATTCCTCCCATACCTCCTCCTCGTCGTCCACCGTGAGCAGGACACTCGGCGACACCGATGATTGAGGTTCCACTTTTCGTCGCATCTGAAGCACAATCCTTGCTCCCTCTTTTGCTGAAGCTCTTTCTCAGTCAGCCTCCTTATTTCGCCGGAGTTTCTGGGGTTGGTGGTGGTGTTTTTGGTGTGTGGGTATGTGTTTAGGTTCGTGTTTAGGCCTGGGGAGTGTTGGATCTGGGAGATCGGGTTGGTACGAAGGTTTGGAAAGGAATTTCGCCACGTGGGTGGGTTAGGGGTGGGTTTGGGCCTTGGGCTAAGTTTAAGTTTCTCCTCGACCCGCATGGAAAGATCCATGGCGTGATCCAAAGAATCCGGGTCAAGGATCCGGACCTCCACTTTGATTTCCTCCTTCAACCCATTAATATATTTTCCCTTCGCAATTTCCTCTGGAACTCCATCAATCGGAGCGAGAAGCTCGATATCGACCACCATTCCCGTCAGCTAATGCGCCTGCCATTGCTCGTGTAGAGTTCCGGTAGCGGTGATTCGAAAGCAACAGAGGATCAATTTCTTCATCGCCTCCCAAGACGACACGGGGTGACGCCTATGCTCCCACTGATACCAGAGTAAGGCGTCGCCGTCAAGTGCGACGATCGCCGCCTCCCGCTGATCTTCAGCCGTCAAACGGTAGAAGTGAAAAAACCTCTCCGCCTGAGGATCCACCCATCTAGGTTCGTGCCATCAAACAGAGGTAAGTCTCAACCGCCAAGTCGAAGACCCAGCCTGATCGCCGCCGTCTCCATACCCTAAATGCGGTGGCGCACCCGCAAAAGGGTTATCCCACTGATAGGGTGAACCATTCGCCGCCGTTGAACGAGGCGCAGTACGAGGCCGTTCCTGCCCGGCAGCAAACTGCAGTGAGGTCAGTCTTAAACACCTCCAACGCCGTCGTGATTTCCTGAGATACCCTCGCCGGAATCCCAGCAAGCTCCTGCTCCATCAAATCCATGCGTTGCGCATTAGTGAGCCGTACCATTTTCAGCTCCGATCGTCACTTCAGATACCAATTTGCTAGGAATTGGGTCAGAAAAACAGAGCAAGTAAGCAAATTAGAGAGAAAAATAGCTAGAACCAGATAGATTGTATTGCAAGTCAGAGTAACTACAATAAACCTCCTTTTTTCTGAGAGGAAAGGATGCTCTCCCAAGGAATGAATTCCACAAAATGATTTCTAGATAGATTCTCTCTACAATTATTCCCTTAAATAACCAAAGATAACTAACAAGCTGCCATAACAAACTCAGCATACAAAACAAGGACTAACAAACTTATTTCTTAATTACTGATTAACCCTTCCCTGTAACTAACTTCCACCTCACCCAAAACCAGCTCACTCTCTTCTAAAGCTTCTTGCTTGGGCTTCCTTCTTGCATATGTAAACCGGACCTTGGGACTAGGCTGATCTCTTGCAATAGACCTTAGTAAAAATATAATGAAATCACTCTTTTCAGTGTGATGCCTGTGAGGCATGAAGAGCTCTATACAACATATTAACTCAAGATTCTCAATCGAGCAACCATCCACCAACCCATCAAGATTTCTAATCTGGAGGAAGATGGAGACGACATATGTGGCTACAATATAAATATACAAAGTTTTAATTAAATAATCACCATTATATCTTCATTAGAGTAGAAGTGCATAAATATTCATAATCCCATAGCTTATTAAGCTTCAAACTTCATCCTACAATGAGCTCTGGACATCCTATGAGGCAAGGAAGCACTATTAACCATCAACTCACTTTATTACAAGTATAGCACCATGTTTGGATAGCTATTTTACTCGAGCAAAGAATTGTCAAATCCTTATCACTTTTAAACAAGAAAAGGACTTATTAAGCTCTAGGCATTAAGCCCCTCTCAAAACACACCAATACCGTTCGTTTTCTCTTTAACACTCCCCCCTTACATCTTTGTATCCCAACATTAAGCTGATAATTTTCCTCAACAACCAAAAGAACTCCTCTATCATATACATATAATCCCTATAGCACTCGTAACAGAACTGAACACGCTGAATGTAGTTTCCTGAATGCAACATTCGTCAATTCATCAAAATTTTCCCTGAATACAACAGTTTATTTCATCGTGCCCTTCCCCGAATACAGCAGCTAATCAGCTATATACATTTTTCATTTCTAGTAAAGCACTTGCTTATCTTGCAAACATAACTCGAGAAAGTGAGTGCTAAAAACAGAAATGTGACTTCCATTCACATCATCTCGATTCAAACCACAACATCAGTATAATTCTACTAATTTCCCATTCATTGTTTAATTGTTAAATACTTGGAAGCATTTGTCCGTATCAGTCCAAACTACCAGTACAATCTTTAAGATAAATAATGTTTATAGTACATTACAACGTTACAAGGTTCGTGGTACGGAGCCACGAATCGCGATCTGATTCGTGCGAACCGGAACGCGGAACAAACGCGACCTGGGTCGCTGGTGGTCGCGAACCAGAACGCTGAAGGTGGCGACTCCTAGTTGTGGCTGAGCAAACACGGTTGTTCTTCCTCTGCAACCTTTAATGGCTTGTTTCCCGACATTTTCAATGCAGTTTTCTCTCTCTTTCTTCTTTCACATGAATTTACTTATTTAATTTCTGAAGTTTTTGACTTTTTTTCTCCCTCCTCTCTCCTGATTTACCTAGCAGTAACATTTTTTTTTTTAATATATGTGCACACTAAGGGTGGCGGCTAAGGTTTTGTTTTAATTGGTAAAAAGCTTAAAAGGCCTTAAACCTATATCTGTCTATCAACAACTTGGGCTTTTTTAAATAAACAACTTGGGCTTTTTATTTTGTTTACTTTTTTTTAGCAATCCACTCACCTAGATATAAAAATCTATCAATAAAAACCACCTATATAATTTATTTATTAATTTACTTATTTCGTACCCAATTGTACCGGATTCACCACGAGTAGCGTTCCGCATATTTGTTTCCGTACCACGTTTCGAATCGAATCCCGTCCCATGTAACGTTGGTACATTAATTTCTGAAAATGTAATTTGTATGAAATAAACAATAAATATAAAAATAGAACTACGGATTAGAGGCATTAGTCTATATTTAGCAAGAACATAATGAAAAGAAATTATTAGAAAAAATATAAGATTAAAAAAATCCAATTATAGCCATTCAATGATTCATCATGCGAAAATCACTTTATAATAATTGAATCATCAAGAAAAACACATAATAAGTCTTACAAAAAAAAAAAAAAAAAAGATCAAGCTCAAAAACATGGAAATCCAGATCTAGCAATATGAAAGTGAGGTGAGAGAGAGAAATTACCTCGTCATCCTCAAAGAATAGCCGTTGGTACCATGTCCTCAAACATTAGCTGTTGACTTAATATGCCTATATCGTGGGGTGAGCTCACAAAGCAGGGCCTTGTCACTCTTTTCTGGATTCATCATCCTGAAATAGACAGTATTCCCAGTATAGATGCCAAAGAGAAGTAAATGTAGTCAAATTGGCACTCATGGCCTTCGATAATTATACGACACATTTGTAAACTGTATGAAACACAAGTACAGAAGAAACGTGCTTTTCAAGAATATTAGAAACATTCATTGTAGCAAATATGGCGAGGGGATGGATGTGGGTGTGAAAGAATCATACAAAGGAATACCTAGTTTTAATTAATATTCTTCCAGGAATCAAAACAGAAAATGGGATATATGCAAATTTAACCCTATATATCTGGAACACATCTAGACTAAAGTACATCTTATTCAAAGCCTTCTTAAAGTGGCTGGCATTCTTCACTAAATTTAGATGATTGCAGGCTGACAATTAACAAATGAATATGCTGATGAGATGCTTGACAGAATCCCATAGGCCAAGAACAACAGAAGAGACCAAAATGAAATAAGTTACCTGGTGCAGATGGAGGAGACCCAAAATGCAAGGCAGCTCTAGAAATACAAGTACAGAAGGAATAAGAAGTCTATGAGGCCTTTCAATAAGTCTGAGAGAATTGAACCCAAGGCTTTTGTATGAAGCCCCCATTTGCCCAACAAACAACACAGAGGCACTCCTTGTAGTCAATACGGATGTACTGGATAGCAGGTCGAAGGCCCAACAGTGCCCATTTCCACATAGCAGGCACTGGTTTCACTCGAGAAAGGTGCTCAAGCTGTTGGCGTTTAAGGTTAAAGAAGCGCCCCCAATGCCCATACATTCGGACCTTATCATCTTGAAGTCATCTACATGGACACAATAACGATTAATTAGAGAGCCAAATGATGTCGTGGCAGCTCTTTCAGAAGACTCCTCCATGCTGGCAGCTTCTCCACCAAAAAAAAAAGACAAATATCTGAACAATTCTCTGCCCACACATGGACACTACATTATTTGTCCGAAAATCTACAAGTTCATAGACTGGCTTAGGAAAATGAAGGCATTCAGACATCTGGGCCAGTAGAGGCGGGATTGGAATGCAAATTTTGCCCGGAGCTGGAGCCATGACCTGTAATAGGCAAAGCTAAGCTTAAGACGATATAGCAGCATAGACATAACGCTGTAGTAAAGCGTCCCACCCTGCTAGGCTATCAAAGAGAGGAAAAAATGGCAAGTTGGCAAAGTCAGGCATAAGCAGGCCAAAGAACTATGCGAGGAAGGGAAAACTAAAAAGACATAATTCGTGCAGTGGCCCTAGTTGTCTAACCCAGCAGGATGGCCTGTTCTTGTACATAGTAGGAATAACAAAGAATGTATAGATAAATAGCATATGCAAGAATACAACAGCTAAAGGTAGCATACAAAGAGCTTGCTAATGTGTTTATTTTTATAAAGAGTTAGATTACCAATAAACTTGAGAAGCAAAGTTGGTAGGCAACTCATTTTGGGACTAGTTAGGCTAGGGTTTAGGAGAGAGGAGAGAGATTAGACATTCTTCTTTGTTAGAGTAGGTTTTTATTATCAATAAAAACTAGAAATGCCTAAGCAGAACATTTTGGGACTAATTAGGTTTTGTTGTTATTGTTGTTGTTGTGTAAGCCCATAGACACCAAAGCAAATCAATTCTCCAAACAAAGTAGTCAAACTCATGTAGAAATCAACGGCTAAGCTACAACACCAAACATAAATGAGTGCTTACAATTGTATATCAAAGAAACTTCAAAAACTCTTCCAATAAAATTGGTGTAAATGTGGGAAATTTAATTTGTGTACTATTGGTTATCTTAGGTTTGTCTAGTTCTTTAGTCTCCTTTATTAAGAACACAACAGCTCTCTAGTTTAGCACATTAATATGAAAATAATGCATACCTAAAATCAAATTAACACAAAAGATAGAATAAACCTAAAGACTAAGCTTGCTCAAATTAAGAACCACCCAATTCAAGTCATGATGAGTAGAAAAAATTATACCATCATAATGGGTTGTAAGCGCCAAGAGGACTTTTCAAAGAAGGAGCCCTGCAAACATCACAATTTGATGGTAAGGACATAGCATTATAAAATAAAAACTTTGGTAAAAAACAGAAAAGATAAAATATAATAATATGATAAGAAACATACGATAATAAATCATTAACGCCGCTCACAACATCGAAAGATAATCTACTCTGCAAGTTTGCAAATTCGATCATATGCTTGGGAAACACATGTTGAAACATGTGTTGTATTTCTTCAAGCGAATGGCATGTCTGAAATTAAAATAAATAACATACAATTTGAAACATTAACTTCTCATAATCAAATTAAAATATTAACCATAAAACAATAGGCAAACCAAATCACATGACAAAATGCAATGAACCCACACCCACCACCAGTTACCTTGGTGTACGGTTGGGGACAGAAACAGAAACAACAGGTGCAACAGAACAGCAGCAGCATACAGAGCACAAGCAACATAGGCAACAACGGTTCTTTAAAATGGCAGGCAGCTTTGGATTATTAGCTATTGTACTGTAGGTAATACAGCAAGAAGACAAAGTATAGTAAAGGTAGCAATTAAGGCACTATGCCACTTATGCATTACAAGTGAGTAGTATAGATAGAACTAGCTTTAGGGAAAGAAGGCAAGCAAAATATTATTGTAGTGAGTTCTTGGAGAGTGATGGCCTAAAGCCATTTACGTTGTACGCAAGCCTTGTGCATTATCTATCAATCTAACCTTCCGACCATTTATTTTCCGTCTGAACCACCACGTTTGTTGCACAAAATGAATATAAAAAGGTAAAAATAAACCACTTTAGGTCGATATAAGAACAGATGTAGTTTTAACAAGTAAAAAATGTAAAATAGCATCTCGCTAGCATTAGGACATTAGGTTATGCCGTTATGGGGTCTAACAACTTTAACTAAAACTTGTATTCAAGTTCGTAAAATGGATTTAAAGTTAATTCACAAAGCTTATCTATACAGCAACTCTAACAGAATAGATAATTAGCAGCAAACATTAATTTCTTTGTTTGTAGTTATTCAAGCTTATATTTATAGTCTTGACTAATAATCCTTCATCCAAGCCAAAATTTAGATGTCTTCTTTATACATAAATAATAAAAATCATACATATTAAAGCGATTTATACAAGAATATAGTCAAAACTTTTAATAAAAAAATTACTTACCCCAATGTTTTTGAAGGCATGTCGATATGCGTCCCGAATACGTGTCAATCCTTGTTCTAATATATCACTCGGATTGCTCGCTAATACATGTGAACGCGAAGCACTAGGGGAAACATTCCGCAAGTTCTGCTGCCAAGCTGATAATTTATTTCTATAATCATAATCTCCTTCTACTAACAATTCCCTGAGAACGGTATTGTTTGATCTCTTCATCATTTCACGGAAATCAATAGCTGTTTTATCATTAGGATCTACAAAAGCCTTTGCACATGTTGGGTGGAGACTAATGATATGATGCTCCATGAGATCATGCAGTTCGATTACAAACATGATTCGCATCTGAACACTCCAGAATATAATATTTTGAAAAATCAAGTTCGGATTTCTGCATATCAACAAAAAGTCAAATTAGATTATCTAAACATCTCATGATAAACTAATTAGCCTATCATTAAATCATCACCAAATTTTTTTAAGATAAGAAATGTTGGTTAATCTGTTACAAAAATATTATTAATTTTAGGAAATTTTGCATATAACCACCTTTTAAATCTTTTTTTTTTTCAAAAAAACCACCTTTTAAAAAAAAATGTTGTTAAAGACTACCATTTTTTATAAAAATGGTGCAACTTACCACCAACTGCGGAAAAGTGGATGTTAACAACTTTCTCCGGCGTTTATCTAGTCACATGCGTGACACGTGACATTTTACTCTTTCGATTTCCCCCTAATGACATTTTTTCTTTCGATTTCCCCTTTAATGAACCGTAATTCCCCCCCAAATGACAATTTATCTTTCAATTTCCCTCTTCTCCTCCTATTTTTCCCTTCCCTCCCTTGTCAAGTCACAACCCCTCTTCTCCCTCATCGAATTGCCACTTAGATCTTGGGTTTTTGAAGGGAAGTGGGTTGGTTTTTATGATGGGTGGGTTGTTCTTGAATGGTTTTTCGAGGTGATGGTAGCGAATGGGTGTAGGTAGCTACTTCACTATTGATAAAGAGTGGCTTTGCGGTTGGGTTGGCTGGGTGGGCGGGTGGGTTTTGCTATGGAGGCAAGGTAGCTGGGTGGTGGGTAACTCGTGGGTGGTGAGCGGCCTGTGAGAGGGGATTGTTGGTGGTGGATAACTCGTGGTTGGTGGAAGAATTAAAGCAGCAGCAATCAACATTAATTAGGGTTCCTAACAAAAATTCCTAAGAAAACTTACCTCTTGATTTGTGAAGAAGTAGCAACAACATCAACAATGGAGGAACAAAAAGTAAAAGAAAGAGTAATAGAGGAGAAGAGGGAAATCAAAAGAAGAGAAAGAAAGAAAGAAAAAAAAGGGGGGGAATTAGGGTTCATTAATAGTCACATCACTAGGTCAATGCCAGAAAAAGTGGTCAACATCCACTTTCGGTGGTATGTTGCAAATTATTTTAAAAAACTGGTGGTGTTTAACAACATTTTCTTAAAAAGGTAGGTTTTTGCACATAAAAAAAAATAAAAAATAAAAAGGGATTTAAAAAGTGGTTATATACAAAATTTCCTTAATTTTAGTGATTATGTTGTTTCTTTAAGTCTTTTTCTCATAGGAATCATACATATAACCTATATGACATTTGTATTATTGTGGAAAACTCAAATTTTCGTATCTTAATTATGTAAATTTAATAGTTATAAAACTCAAAAAAAAAAAATACAAGAACAAATTAAAAATAAAAATTCAAGTATTACCCAAACTGCTATTTACCCCAACCAAATAGCAGTTTAAATTATCATCATAGCAACAAACATCTTAAAACTTTCGAATTCCAAAACACCAACTATACAAACAACACAAACAATGATAATAATAATTATTATACCCAATTTATTAACTAACTAACCATACTCACCCTAGAAGTTGTTGATGAGTATATTTTATCAATGATTTACCAAACGATTTGATCTCTTCGCGTATGGTAGTTGAATGTCTGGCTTTGTTTTTTCCAAGATTGTCGAATAACAGATAAAGTTCCTTTGCCTCATATGCCCAATTATGATTTTGACCTACAAAATTAAATAAATCAATCAAAACAAAAATAGATTATTTAAAGATAAATGTATACAAGTTAAAAAGAATAATTATTACATCTTGATTCATAGTAGGTGAAGACAACATTGTTGTCTTCACCTACATACATGTATCTAACATCAAGGATAGGCCGAAACGGCAAGAAAACAAATGCAACAACCGTGCTCACAATGCTGAACACAAATTTCTTTAGTTCCACAGTCATGTACATAAACTCTTCAGCCGATTTATTCTTTAATGAATCATAAGATACTAAAACTTTCTGAAAACACCAATTCGGTCTTTACTTTTGAAAATGGATCAGATTTTGCACACTTGACCATTAAAACCGGATGAACACGCTCATCGATGGTAAAAAGAGGGAGATGGTTAGGAACTATGTGGTTGTTCATAATGTGTCTTATATTTTGATAAAGGCTCTCTACTTGATTTTGAGGGTTACAATGCACTTCTCTATAAAAAAGAGTATCATTTTTCCAATAAATTGTGACTTCTCCGTTCTGAATTTGTGAATGACAATCAGGATATTCGAGCACCATGATAAAATGTTCGCGTCTTTCTTCCAAGCAAGTTTCAAAACCTAGCAAAAAACAGATCAAAACCTTGAATCCCTTAATCCACGAGAGAAGTGTAAAAGATAATTAAGATTCATAACATGACACAAATACTAATATAGTAAAAATTCATTACTTGGAAATCAAAAACACTCATATCAACCTCTAACTAATTAAGTCATGGGAAAAATAAAGCCAGACATTCAATTCAGAATTGTTTAGAACATTGTTGGCTGAGGAACATTGTCAACCCCAGAACCTAAAAGGTATAAAATTTCCCTTCAGCACCGAAAATAAAATTACTGTAAACAACCTTGATTCACCTAATACGGAGATTAAAGGGAATCATAGAGCTACTCAGCACAACTAAATCATACAAATATAGAGAATGCATTTAATGGAACACATAGCAGGCACTCAGGTAGTGTATGTACTTCAGCAGGAACATTTAACAAATGAATTGCAAGAAAACACATATTTTGCATTTTTTTAATCTAACAAAAACCAAATAAGCAAACAAAAATCAAGAATTAAATAATCAAATTAAACCCATTATCAGAAAAACCAAAACAGTCTCCAAATGACAGTGAAAAAATCAATTAAAAGGGTTTCGTGAAAGTAAATGAGCAATTTCAGAAAATAAATCAATACGAAGTATAAATTAGGGAGGAGAAAGAAAGAGAAGAGAGTGTTACCGAAGAGTGATGGAGAAAAGGAACAGACTACAGAAATCAATTCGTATTGGAACTTTTTCCAAAGTGAGCCAATTTTGGCAAATATTAACCAAAATGGTTGCGTGGCAAAAGTATTTACCAAACTAAGCTTCCAGGCTAAAACGCTGTCTCGGTCAGCGTTTTATGCCTGGGTTTTTTTTAAAAAAAAATCAACCTAAAAACGCTGTCTGGGACAGCGTCTTTGTTGTTGACCTTTTTTTAAAAAAATTTTGTAATTGCCTTTTATTTATAAAAATGTTTTTAAAAAACAAAAACAGTTATACCAAAGACGCTGTCCCAGACAGCGTTTAACTCTGGAACTATAAGCGCTGTCTCAGACAACGTTTAAGGTTATTAATCCCCCTTCAACTGTTTTTTTCCCTCCAACAGCGTATTTCATCCTTTCATTTCCTCCTCCTTCATTCTCAAACCCCTTTTTTCCCAAACTCTAACTTAATCCCCCTCTCTCTCATACTTGTGCTCCTCCGTATAGACCGCCGCCGGCGCCGCCACCTCCACCGTCGCCCGCCGTCACCTCCACCGTCGCCCTCCGTGTAGCCCACTATACACTCCCCTCACCCTGAAATAGGTATTCATTCAACTTTCTTTGTGTTTTAAATTCTAGGGTTTATGTTGGTGATTTCTAATTTTTTTGGAATTGGGTTAAAATGTTGATGAGGTTGAGTTGTTAGTGTTAAAAATGTTGAATTGTTAGTGTTGGTATTGTTGAATTATTAGTGTTGGTAATTGTTGAATTGTTAGTGTTGATAATGGTAGTGTTGATATTGTTAGTGTTGATAATAGTTTGGATAATGTTGAATTGTTGTTGTTGGTTTTGTTGAAAATTGTTGACAATGGTTGATAATTATTAGGTTTTGAACAATTGTAATTACCTACATTGTTGTGTAATAATGGTGATTTAGGGGTTCTTAGTAGTTAATTTGTATAGTATGTAAAATTTTTTTGTTTGATTGTGGTGATTTAGGGATGATTTAACGGCTTTACGTAAAATGTGTTTTGGTTGTTATGTAGAATATGGCTGGACAAAATGTAGCGTTGTTATGTCGATGGGGAGGTGAAATTTTGTGTAATGGATCAAATGTGGAATACAGTGGAGGGAATATGGACCTTATAACACTTGAACCGAACATGACTGTGACTGATCTGATGAATGAGGTTCACAGTTGTATTGGTTCAAACCCTATGACTGTTGAACTGAACCTTAAAATGAGGTGTGATACTGGTCATGGGGTGCAAGTGTTACCTGTCTCTACGAACAGACATTTGAAAGGTTTGAGGAGCATGGTAGGAATGAAGGGTCCCAATGAGATATATGTAGAAACAGTGCCTATATGTACCCAACAAAGTACTCGGGCAGAACAGCAAGCTACATATGTCTCTAATTACAACATCGCGTCCTTCCAAGAGCCCGCAAACCACATTCCATCGAATGCATATGGGATGGGTTCTTTCACTCGAATGATGCAGGACGACCAATTTCACTTGCCTTTTAGTTCTCATATAGCTTCACCAGTACATGCGGGGGGACGCGTGACAGTGTTCGGCCAGCCTGCTCCGTCGTCATCGAACACCGTGACATCTTCGCCGATGCAATTGCATAGCTACTCTCCTATGCAAGGTGATGATGGTTCATCGTTTCGAGAAGAGCTAAATCATTTTGATGATGTTGTGAATAATGAATTGTCAGTGTATGATGTGTATGCGGAAATGGATGATGAGGACGAGAACGGAGAGGGGGATGATGAACCTACACAGGTGGAAGATGGTCAGCCGTTGATTAGAACTCTCATACCTTGGTTCAGTGAGGTACCCGAGAACTATGAAGTTGATCAGTATTGGGCCGAATCGGGTAGCCACACCTCTTTTGTTCCCGGGGGAGAATTTGAGAAGGGAATGTATTTTGAGAGCAAGAAACTGCTTCAAGAAATGGTGAAGATGTATTCTATTCAGAGGAATCAATTCTACACCACAGTGACCTCGAATGATGGTGTCCTACATCTGCGATGCAAGAAGAAATGTGGTTGGATGCTACGGGGTACCAAATCGAGTGAGCACTCACGTGGTTTTACCATAGTCACGTACAAAGGCCCGCATCGGGAGACATGTGTCAATGAAGTACTATCTAATGATCACCCACATTTGGATTCGTCCGTAATAGCCGAGTATGTGAAGTCCTTTGTGCGAAAAGATCCTTCGTTGAAAGTGGAATTCATACAGGAACTGATCTCGAAGCAATTTCATTTCGATGTCCCGTATCGACGAGCGTGGTATGCCAAGGAGAAAGCTATAGCTGAGATATTTGGGGATTGGGAGAGTTCATATGGCAGACTTCCCCACTTCATGCAAGCACTCCTACGATCGAACCCGGGAACATGTGTCGTATGGAAACACAAAGCTTTAGTGGATGGTGTATACTACAGCAACATGGAAGTGTTTGAACGAGTGTTTTGGGCCTTCGGTCCTTGTATCGATGGCTTTAAACATTGTATGCCTGTTATCTGTATCGATGGGACGCACTTGTACGGGAAGTATAAAGGAACACTGTTGGTTGCTACGAGTGTTGATGCAAGCTTCCAAGTATTTCCTATTGCATTTGCGGTGGTTGAAGGGGAAAACACTTCCAGCTGGTCTTGGTTCCTAGGTTGTATTCGAGATCGTGTCACGCAACGGGATGGCCTTTGTGTTATTTCTAATCGGCATCCTTGGATCATTGCAGCAATGAATGATCCCAATGTTGGATTCACCCAGCCCCGAGCGTATCACAGGTTTTGTGTCCGCCACATAGCCTCTAACTTGAAGACTCACGTGCGAAGTAACGACATGAGAGACATGTTCAAGGCCGCTGCGTACCAAAGGCAAGAAAGAAAACTTCAAGCTGATCTGTGTTTCATTGGTGAGGCCTGTCCCAAGGCCATTGAGTACATTGCTCAAGTCCCGTTCCCTATGTGGTCTCTGTTTCACGACAGTGGTCGCAGGTATGGTATATGTACTACTAACTTCTCAGAGACATTCAACAATGTGCTGAAAGGAGCTCGGTTTCTACCGATTATGTCCCTTGTCGAGTTAACCTTCCACAGAGTTAACAAGTATTTCACTTTGAGAAGGGAGTCTTCTGAGGCTAGGTCTGATCTGGGACTTCCATACCCCCCAAAGGTCACTGCCATCCTCAAGAAGAACACCGCTAAAGCCAGATATCATAGAGTGGATGCCTATAACCGGCGATTGCATATTTACCAAGTGACAACAGAGAGGGGAGAGAGAGTTGGTAATAAAGGAGGCCACAAGCATACGGTGAACTGGCAGTTGAGAACGTGTACGTGCAACAAACCGAAGATATTCCACCTCCCATGTTCTCATGTGCTAGCAGTCTGTGCTACATACTCACTATCAGAACGGCCTTGGGTGGACCCTCTGTTGCAGTCGGCCGCCTACATGAACACCTATGCACCACAGTTTTGGCCGATCCCCTGCGAGACAACCTGGGAACAGTGGGCACAGTACGTAGGCCCTAAACTCATTACGGACGACACAATGATACGTGGAAAAGGTCGTCCAAAGTCGAAGCGCATACGCAATGAGA